CAGGCCCTGATCCACCGGGAGGTCTGGTCGTGGACCGGGCCGCGGGGGCGTTGATCCCCGGAATGCCCTCCAGGTAGACTCCAGGTAGGCGCCCATATACTGAAGCAAGTATTTGGTTGATGTGCGCCTCAGGAGATGTGCTCGGTGTTATACTCACCCCAAGATCTTTTTCCTTGAGTGAGGTTTGTACTCTCTGGCTATCTAGACTGTACTCCGTCTGTGGTCTTCTTTGCCCTTCCCCAATCTTCATGACTTTGCACTTGGTGGGGTCGAACTCCAGGAGCCAGTTGCTGGACCAGGTCTGCAGCCTGTGTGTGTGTGTGTGTGTGTGTGTGTGTGTGTGTGTGTGTGTGTGTGTGTGTGTGTGTGTGTGTGTGTGTGTGTGTGTGTGTGTGTGTATATATATATATATATATATATATATATATATATATATATATAATATATATATATATATGAAAGAGAATAGCCGAGGAATGCGCTAGACAATAAGGAAGGGGTGAGGGGAGGGGGTGTATGCTGGCTATCAAGGGGTAATGGGGAGGGAAGGGGTGCCAGAGTGTGGGGGGGTGTTGGCACTCTGCCCATGTGTGGTGCCATGATAACCCCCCTCCTCCCCCCCCTGCCTGTAATGCCTTCACCTCCCTCCTCTTCCTTACCCACACTTTCCATCTCTCCTTCACTCCTCCCTTCTTTAACTAAGTTTATTTAGGCACTGGTACACATAAGTACAATTATCATACATAATAAGGATAATTAGGGTACTTAGGATAATTACAAGTTATTCCAAGAATCACAATGGAAATAAGTTACTTTGACATTTTTGGGTTATCCTGGTTAATCTACAAATATGTTACTATGTATGATACTTATGTAACTATCTGTGTTTATCTGTACCGGAAAACACTTAATAAACCTTAAGTCAGTAACTTAACTTCCATTGGGGTACTTGTTATATCTCTTTCCTTGTCTCATTTACGTTTATTTCCCATTCTTCCTTCTCTCTCCCTTCCTCTTCTCTCCCTCTCCCACTTCCCTCACTCCCTCTTCTCTCCCCCTCTTCTCTCCCTCCCTCTTTTCTCTCCTTCATTACATTCGTCCTCTGAGGAGGCCTGAGGCAGTTCTTTTGTTTGGTTGGTTATCTTGCTCTAGTTGTCGTAGTTATCTTGCTGTAGTTGTCGTAGTTATCTTGCTGTAGTTGTTGTAGTTATGTAGTTATCTTGTAGTTATCTTGCTCTAGTTGTTGTAGTTATCTTGTAGTTGTCGTAGTTATCTTGCTCTAGTTGTTGTAGTTATCTTGCTGTAGTTGTTGTAGTTATCTTGCTGTAGTTGTTGTAGTTATGTAGTTATCTTGTAGTTATCTTGCTCTAGTTGTTGTAGTTTTCTTGTAGTTGTCGTAGTTATCTTGCTCAAGTTGTCGTAGTTATCTTGCTGTAGTTGTTGTAGTTATGTAGTTATCTTGTAGTTGTCGTAGTTATCTTGCTATAGTTGTAGTTATCTTGCTGTAGTTGTTGTAGTTATGTAGTTATCTTGTAGTTGTCGTAGTTATCTTGCTCTAGTTGTTGTAGTTATCTTGTAGTTGTCGTAGTTATCTTGCTCTAGTTGTCGTAGTTATCTTGCTGTAGTTGTTGTAGTTTAGTTTATCTTGTAGTTGTCGTAGTTATCTTGCTCTAGTTGTCGTAGTTATCTTGTAGTTGTCGTAGTTATCTTGCTCTAGTTGTTGTAGTTATCTTGTAGTTGTCGTAGTTATCTTGCTCTAGTTGTCGTAGTTATCTTGCTGTAGTTGTTGTAGTTATGTAGTTATCTTGTAGTTGTCGTAGTTATCTTGCTCTAGTTGTTGTAGTTATCTTGTAGTTGTCGTAGTTATCTTGCTCTAGTTGTTGTAGTTATCTTGTAGTTGTCGTAGTTATCTTGCTCTAGTTGTCGTAGTTATCTTGCTATAGTTGTCGTAGTTATCTTGCTCTAGTTGTTGTAGTTATCTTGTAGTTGTCGTAGTTATCTTGCTCTAGTTGTCGTAGTTATCTTGCTGTAGTTGTTGTAGTTATGTAGTTATCTTGTAGTTGTCGTAGTTATCTTGCTCTAGTTGTTGTAGTTATCTTGTAGTTGTCGTAGTTATCTTGCTCTAGTTGTTGTAGTTATCTTGTAGTTGTCGTAGTTATCTTGCTCTAGTTGTTGTAGTTATCTTGTAGTTGTCGTAGTTATCTTGCTCTAGTTGTCGTAGTTATCTTGCTCTAGTTGTTGTAGTTATCTTGTAGTTGTTGTAGTTATCTTGCTATAGTTGTCGTAGTTATCTTGCTATAGTTGTCGTAGTTATCTTGCTATAGTTGTTGTAGTTGTAGTTGTCGTAGTTATCTTGCTATAGTTGTCGTAGTTATCTTGCTCTAGTTGTTGTAGTTATGTAGTTATCTTGTAGTTGTCGTAGTTATCTTGCTATAGTTATTGTAGTTATCTTGTAGTTGTCGTAGTTATCTTGCTATAGTTACTGTAGTTATCTTGTAGTTGTCGTAGTTATCTTGCTATAGTTATTGTAGTTATCTTGTAGTTGTCGTAGTTATCTTGCTATAGTTATTGTAGTTATCTTGTAGTTGTCGTAGTTATCTTGCTATAGTTATTGTAGTTATCTTGTAGTTGTCGTAGTTATCTTGCTATAGTTATTGTAGTTATCTTGTAGTTGTCGTAGTTATCTTGCTATAGTTACTGTAGTTATCTTGTAGTTGTCGTAGTTATCTTGCTCTAGTTGTAGTTATCTTTGCTGTAGCTGAGTCAGTGACTGCTGGTCCTTCAGGAAAGTACATCTTGTAGTTGTCGTAGTTATCTTGCTATAGTTGTTGTAGTTATGTAGTTATCTTGTAGTTGTCGTAGTTATCTTGCTATAGTTGTCGTAGTTATCTTGCTATAGTTGTTGTAGTTATGTAGTTATCTTGTAGTTGTCGTAGTTATCTTGCTATAGTTGTCGTAGTTATCTTGCTATAGTTGTTGTAGTTATGTAGTTATCTTGTAGTTGTCGTAGTTATCTTGCTATAGTTGTCGTAGTTATCTTGCTATAGTTGTTGTAGTTATGTAGTTATCTTGTAGTTGTCGTAGTTATCTTGCTCTAGTTGTAGTTATCTTTGCTGTAGCTGAGTCAGTGACTGCTGGTCCTTCAGGAAAGTACATCTTTCCTCGAAAATAGAATGAAGTATTTCTTAAGGTGACCCTTGGCTCGGTTGGTAGCGCACTTACCTCCCATATTGAGGTACTTGTCTCGATCCTCGGTACGAGTGGAAACATGGGCCGTGTTTCCTTAAGCTGTCCCCGCACCTAGCGGTAAGTAGGTACCTGCTTGTTAGTCGACCGGTGTGGTTGCATCCTGGGGGACATAATTAACCTAGGTTGCGGGAAATGCTCTACATAACCAGGGGCTTTCTAGATAATATATCATTGATGTCAGCTATGGTCTGTATAAGTTATATCATGTACTTTTAAAAATAGATTAGTAATAATAATAATAATAATAATAATAATAATAATAATAATAATAATAATAATAATAATAATAATTATTATTATTATTATTATTATTATTATTTATATTATTATTATTATTATTATTATTATTATTATTATATTATTATTATTATTATTATTATTATTATTATTATTAAGCAATCTTGAAAGATTTAAGGATATATGTGAGATGAAATCCACATGTGTACTCTGACTCCACTGTCCACAATCGTACCATATCTGTGTCTGCCTTCTGACACGCATGCCACAATTGATACACGGGGTTAATTAAGATCATTTATGGGCGATAAAGAATCAGTTACAATTATTAGTAGTATCAGAGATATTCAGGGCTTTCAGTATGGCACGATGGGACTCTAACATTATCTTGGCAGATGATCCGGAGAGTAGCGTGCAGAAGAGAGCCTTCAGCTTCTCTGTCTTAATCACATTTGTTCAGATAGAATATGTAGAAGTACCAGAGTAGTTTTGTGTCCCCCCACAGTTTCAGTATACAGTGTAAGGTCTTGTATCACCCCACAGTTTCAGTATACAGTGTAAGGTCTTGTATCACCCCACAGTTTCAGTATACAGTGTAAGGTCTTGTATCATCCCACAGTTTCAGTATACAGTGTAAGGTCTTGTATCACCCCACAGTTTCAGTATACAGTGTAAGGTCTTGTATCATCCCACAGTTTCAGTATACAGTGTAAGGTCTTGTATCACCCACAGTTTCAAGTATACAGTGTAAGGTCTTGTATCATCCCACAGTTTCAGTATACAGTGTAAGGTCTTGTAAACATCTCACAGTTTCAGTATACAGTGTAAGGTCTTGTATCATCCCACAGTTTCAGTATACAGTGTAAGGTCTTGTATCATCCCACAGTTTCAGTATACAGTGTAAGGTCTTGTATCATCTCACAGTTTCAGTATACAGTGTAAGGTCTTGTATCACCCCACAGTTTCAGTATACAGTGTAAGGTCTTGTATCATCCCACAGTTTCAGTATACAGTGTAAGGTCTTGTATCATCCCACAGTTTCAGTATACAGTGTAAGGTCTTGTATCATCTCACAGTTTCAGTATACAGTGTAAGGTCTTGTATCATCTCACAGTTTCAGTATACAGTGTAAGGTCTTGTATCATCCCACAGTTTCAGTATACAGTGTAAGGTCTTGTATCATCCCACAGTTTCAGTATACAGTGTAAGGTCTTGTATCATCTCAGGTAACTGATGTTTAATCAAGAAAATTTAAAAGCAAACTGCTAGAGAGGTTCTGTTATGAGTTGATCAGGACCTGATCCACCATGAAGCCTGGTCACAGACCGGGCCGCGGGGGGTGTTGACCCCTGGAACACTCGCCAGGTAAACTCCAGGTATGAAGGTGGAACATTACGGTAGAGTTTACATTGTTCTTAGGTTGTCTAGTAAATTCTCATTCTTAGCTTCACTAGACTTAAAAAGCCTCACATTTCTTTGTTATTTTCTAATGTATTTATTTTTGTATTTTTCAGGTACCTGTGTGAGTCGACTTGTGAAGTGTGGTGAGTATACCAGGTTACCTCAAGACGATTTCAGGGGTCACCGCCCCCGCCGCACGGTCCTAGACTAGACCTCCCAGCTACTGCCCTGATCGATCAGGCTTTTGGTACTTTGCGGATTTTCCAAGGACAAGAGAATCCAAGCTATGATGGGCCAGCAGGCTGCTAACAGCAACAGCCTGGTTGACCAGGCAGCCAAGGAAGCCTAGCCTCAGGTCGAACTGCGACCGTAGAACAAACGAAACCAGCTGAAGGTGTCGTGTGGGGTTCGGTAGGAGATACGAGGGTAGAAGGTAATCACCTTCTTGGATGGTAACACTATATATATTGTCAGACTGTGGTAAGGAAAGGATGAGCCCAGCCTGCCGTGTCACTGCCTGGATGTCAATACGCCGACTGAGAGCGAGGCAGCTCGTCTCACTGCCTCAAGCTGTATGTACCCCGTGACGTCATACAGTCACAGGCCTAAGGGATCTTTTATATAAACACATGGATGGTACTATGATACTCAGCTAATCTATATAGCACATATAAGGGGATCAGCAACTATATACACAGGTATGTTGACATTGACCTGATTATTTCTCAGTGTGGTAGAGAAATTTATGAGGTAAATGTGGTGACGCAAATTCCATACACAGTTTAAAGATCATGTACGAAAACGTTCGTAAGGATATAGCTCAGTGAATGCTTGTCATTTATGGTTAAGGGCTTGTGCAAGGAGCTGTGGTTCGACCCCCAGAATCACAGGTAGGTGAGTACAGTGTGAGAGCGCTGTGCAGTTGCCATATTGCTTTAAACCCTGACATTAAGAATGTTATTTGTCGGGAGTGGCTGCAGGAGCCTCCACGCGGCTCTCACGCCTCGTTATCACCAGCACGAGCAGCAGCAGCAACAACAGTAGCAGCACTGTCCCTCGTTATCACCAGCACGAGCAACAGCAACAACAGCAGTAGCAGGACTGTCCCTCGTTATCACCAGCACGAGCAGCAACAGCAACAGCAGTAGCAGGACTGTCCCTCGTTATCACCAGCAAGAGCAACAGCAGCAACAGCAGTAGCAGCACTGTCCCTCGTTATCACCAGCACGAGCAACAGCAACAACAGCAGTAGCAGGACTGTCCCTCGTTATCACCAGCACGAGCAGCAACAGCAACAGCAGTAGCAGGACTGTCCCTCGTTATCACCAGCAAGAGCAACAGCAGCAACAGCAGTAGCAGGACTGTCCCTCGTTATCACCAGCACGAGCAGCAGCAGCAACAGCAGTAGCAGGACTGTCCCTCGTTATCACCAGCACGAGCAGCAACAGCAGTAGCAGCACTGAACCTTGTTATCACCAGCACGAGCAGCAGCAGCAACAGCAGTAGCAGGACTGTCCCTCGTTATCACCAGCACGAGCAGCAGCACTGTCCCTCGTTATCACCAGCACGAGCCGCAACAGCAGTAGCAGGACTGTCCCTCGTTATCACCAGCACGAGCAGCAACAGCAGTAGCAGCACTGAACCTTATCACCAGCACGAGCAGCAGCAGCAACAGCAGTAGCAGGACTGTCCCTCGTTATCACCAGCACGAGCAGCAGCAGCAACAGCAGTAGCAGGACTGTCCCTCGTTATCACCAGCACGAGCAGCAGCAGCAACAGCAGTAGCAGGGCTGTCCCTCGTTATCACCAGCACGAGCAGCAGCAGCAACAACAACAGCAGTAGCAGCACTGTCCCTAGTTATCAACAGCACGAGCAGCAGCAGCAGTAGCAGCACTGAGCCTCGTTATCACCAGCACGAGCAGCAGCAACAACAACAGCAGTAGCAGCACTGAGCCTCGTTATCAACAGCACGAGCAGCAGCAGCACTGAACCTTGTTATCACCAGCACGAGCAGCAACAGCAGTAGCAGGACTGTCCCTCGTTATCACCAGCACGAGCAACAGCAGTAGCAGGACTGTCCCTCGTTATCACCAGCACGAGCAGCAGCAGCAGCATCAGCAGTAGCAGCACTGAACCTTATCACCAGCACGAGCAGCAGCAGCAACAGCAGTAGCAGCACTGAACCTTATCACCAGCACGAGCAGCAGCAGCAACAGCAGTAGCAGCACTGAACCTTATCACCAGCACGAGCAGCAGCAGCAGGACTGAGCGTCGTTATCACCAGCACGAGCAGCAACAACAGCAGTAGCAGGACTGAGCCTCGTTATCACCAGCAACAACAGCAGCAAAAGCAACAACAGAACAAGGAAAAGGATGACTGCTACTAGAAACAGCAACAACAGAACAAGGATAAGGATGACTGCTACTAGAAGCAGCAACAACAGAACAAGGAAAAGGATGACTGCTACTAGAAACAGCAACAACAGAACAAGGATAAGGATGACTGCTACTAGAAGCAGCAACAACAGAAGGGTAAGAATGACTGCTACTAGAAGCAGCAACAACAGAACAAGGAAAAGGATGACTGCTACTAGAAGCAGCAACAACAGAACAAGGATAAGGATGACTGCTACTAGAAGCAGCAACAACAGAACAAGGGTAAGAATGACTGCTACTAGAAGCAGCAACAACAGAACAAGGATAAGGATGACTGCTACTAGAAGCAGCAACAACAGAATAAGGATAATGATGACTGCTACTAGAAGCAGCAACAACAGGATAAGGATGACTGCTACTAGAAGCAGCAACAACAGGATAAGGATGACTGCTACTAGAAGCAGCAACAACAGGATAAGGTTGACTGCTACTAGAAGCAGCAACAACAGGATAAGGATGACTGCTACTAGAAGCAGCAACAACAGGATAAGGTTGACTGCTACTAGAAGCAGCAACAACAGGATAAGGTTGACTGCTACTAGAAGCAGCAACAACAACAGCATCAAACTAAAGGCGGAGGAGGAATGAGAAGATGTGGGGGGGGGGAGGTGGAGGAGGGGAGGAAAGTGATCGTAGTAGTGGAGGAAGAACGAGAGGAAGAGGAAGAGCAATAAAAGAGGAGGATGGACAAGAAGGAAGGCAGAGGTTAGAACAAGAGCATCGATTGGGCTGTTGATTGTATCAGTGATGTCTTGACGTGATGGAGCTGCCTACCTTACCTCTTTTCTGAGCTGTTGATTGTATCAGTGATGTCTTGACGTGATGGAGCTGCCTACCTCACCTCTTCTCTGGATTGTTGATTGTGTCAGTGATGTCTTGACGTGATGGAGCTGCCTACCTCACCTCTTCTCTGGATTGTTGATTGTATCAGTGATGTCTTGACGTGATGGAGCTGCCTACTTCACCTCTTCTCTGGATTGTTGATTGTATCAGTGATGTCTTGACGTGATGGAGCTACCTACCTCACCTCTTCTCTGGATTGTTGATTGTGTCAGTGATGTCTTGACGTGATGGAGCTGCCTACTTCACCTCTTCTCTGGATTGTTGATTGTATCAGTGATGTCTTGACGTGATGGAGCTGCCTACCTCACCTCTCCTCTGGATTGTTGATTGTATCAGTGATGTCTTAACATGTTGGAGCTGCCTACTTCACCTCTTCTCTGGATTGTTGATTGTGTCAGTGATGTCTTGACGTGATGGAGCTGCCTACCTCACCTCTTCTCTGGATTGTTGATTGTATCAGTGATGTCTTGACGTGATGGAGCTGCCTACTTCACCTCTTCTCTGGATTGTTGATTGTATCAGTGATGTCTTGACGTGATGGAGCTGCCTACTTCACCTCTTCTCTGGATTGTTGATTGTATCAGTGATGTCTTGACGTGATGGAGCTGCCTACTTCACCTCTTCTCTGGATTGTTGATTGTGTCAGTGATGTCTTGACGTGATGGAGCTGCCTACTTCACCTCTTCTCTTATTACTGTCATAATCAGGGGAGGTGATTAACTCGACAGGTATTACTATTTCTACCTCATTACTACTACTATATTATTACTGCTATTACTGTATTACTACTGCTATTACTGTATTACTACTGCTATTGCTGTTCTGAAAAGAAAAACGAAATTAACAATTATTTTCCGTTTTCGTAGGGTTTCTATTGTAAAGTGTGATTACAATGATGTGGATATTTTTGAGGTATAACATTAACATGGCGCTATCTACAAATGGAATGTTATTTCAGTAATGAACTAGGTGTTGAGGGAGAGTAAATTCACCTTCATGGCGGACTCTCTTTCTCTTTCCTTAGGCTGCACCACCTGCTCAATGTGCAGCAATTATTACCTGGCAAATATGTTTCTTTTTTTTATCCGTGGAGGAAGCTGCTTGTTTCTCCCATCTTTCCTCCCTCTATGTCTGTTATTTAATAAAAAGTTCATTTTGTATAATTGAAGCAAGACCTGCAAAGGGATGTCTAGTTATTTTCCGTATATAGCACCAGGGGAAGTTTTCTTACAGCCTCGCAGGTTTGTGTTGTCAGCAGAAAAGCGTTTCCAATCTCTTGGTCAAAGTTGCTGGAGGTTTCCTCAAATGGAGCTGTACGGTATAAAATACTTGTTCTGAATTTCTCTGTGTAGTGTTGAGTGGCAGGCAGTAATGAAGGTTGTGTGTGTGTGTGTGTGTGTGTGTGTGTGTGTGTGTGTGTGTGTGTGTGTGTACCTGTTTGTGGTTACAGGGGTCGGGTCTTAGCTCCTATCCCCGTCTCAACTTTCCAGATTTACTTCCTCATGGGCCCTATCATACCTTACTGTTAAACATGTATAGAACCTGCCTTCACCACCTTCAAATGTTGTTAGATTCATTTGCAATAGCTTCTTCTCATAGCTCATGTCCCTTAGCTCAGGAACAACCCACGTTACATACTTCTGCATTGTCTCCAGTTTCTTATTATGCTTTTTCAGGTGCAGGTTCCATTACTTGTGCAGAATACTCCAAGATATGAGCGTGACATTTATTGTATAAAGGGCCCAGAATGAGATTTCTGAAGGATACTTTTATATTTTCTCCATGGGGAAGTGGAACAGAATTCTTCCTCCGTAAGCCATGCGTGTCGTAAGAGGCGACTAAAATGCCGGGAGCAAGGGGCTAGTAACCCCTTCTCCTGTATATATTACTAAATGTAAAAGGAGAAACTTTCGTTTTTCCTTTTGGGCCACCCCGCCTCGGTGGGATATGGCCGGTGTGTTGAAAGAAGACTTTTATATTTCCCAGATGAGCATTGGCTGAAAATGTTATTCGGCTGATGTGAGCCTGTGGTGGTATACTGGTCACTATGCTTACCCATAGGCCTTTCTCTTTGCCTGAGGTCTGCAGCCTCTGCCCTCTAGTCTAGACCTCGTTTCTTCTTGCTCTTTCTCCAATCTTCATTACCTAGCACTTACTGGGATACATCTGAATAAATCCCATCTGGAATGTCATTCACATAAGCCAGAAACATTACTGATCATAATACCAAACTTTGCAGAACCCAGCTAGATTAGGTTAGATTTTTTGCCTCTGGAGCTGCTAGTTTATTGTGCACCTCATATCCATCTGTAGATGGTATTACAAGAGCGTATGAGATACAAAAGGCCTAGGAACTAGGTGCCAAAATGGTTAACAGGAGTATATCAGGATTTATGTCTACAGTTGATTCATCTGTTGCAAGCAAATTTAAAAAAAAATGGATTAATATGTCTAGTATGTTATATTCATTAATAAGATATCTTGATATATCACATAGGTTATTATACTGAAGTTTGTGGATCGGACTGATGCTCCTTCTGTCACTTTGATTTAAAGATTCAAAAAATGTTTTATTAAATTTACAAGTAATTAAGTGAGGTAGCATTATTAGGTAGGTGTTAGTGCATGTGTACGATGTTTGCTGTTTCCTTCAGATGTCTGCCGTGGAGCCTCCAGGAGCCACGGGAGAGGACGGAGGCAACATACCCTTTATTGACGACAGCGGCTCCTCGTGTGCCTCTTCCATGATGGGCGAGGAGGACGACACTGCCTCACTCAGTAGACTTCTCGATGATGCAGCCTCCAGGGAGTTCAGTATCAATGGCCTGCATGATGATCTTGCCTCGCTCTCCTGTGGGTATGCATCTCTTGATGCCCACAGTGATGGCCAGAGCGACACCCATAGTGATGTCCATAGTGACGTCCACAGTGACGTCCAAAGTGACGTTCAGAGTCGCAGCGATGTAGGCAGTAGCGGAGAGTCGCAGGAAAAGTCTCGGACAGGTTCAGGCCGATGGTCATGGCAACAATCATCTCCAGGCTCACGAAGAACGTCAAAGTCAAGCATAAAGTCGACGGATAATCTGTATGAAGAACCTCCCGATAATGAAGACGATGACCAGAAGCCCCAGCCAGCCCTCCCGCCTTCCTTGCCACCTTGTGATACCTGTGAGGACCGCTCCTCTACTTCCTCATCGTGTTTCACTGGCACTTCCTCCTCAGTTCTCTCCTGTACAACTTGCGCAGCAGAGTCTGATGCTAAGCCTGAAGTAGATCCTCAAAACAACCCTACAACAGCAGGAGAAGCACCACAGGAGATCACTCAACCTGGTGGGCTACCACCTCTGGACGAAAAACCAAGTTTGCTTCCCAGTAATTGTAATACTCCGGAACCTACTGATGGTGAGAAGCCTTTAAGTAATGGTAGGATGACGCCTCATCGCCTCAGCCTCACAGTCAAGGTTAGTCTGCTTGCTTTGGTTTCTGACTGATAGTGTGGCTAACAAATTACCAGAATAACCCTGATTATTGACTCAGAGCCTTCAAATTATACCTGTTTTTTATTACAGTGCATTATACAATTACTAACAGTAGTGTAACATGCAGGAGGTGTGGAGCCCAGGCAGTGAAATCCCTCTTCCACTGGTGACGTCAACTCCCCAGCCAGGTGGAAGTGGTGGTGTGGAGGCCAAGTATGCCACACCACATCACTACATCTCCTCCATGAGGGTGGCTTCCATGAGAGGTGCAGCAGACATGGGTGGTGCTCTTGTGGCACGCGTTGCCACCTTCCTCAGGACTCAGTACAAGAACCTTACCTCCAGTCCCCTTCAGTTGCCCTGGTGCCCAAACTTTAAGTAAGATTTCTTTCTAAATTTCTTCTTTCTACTCTTGTCTTTCTTTTTCTGGGCCAGAATCTAAGCTGTCTTGTTACCTCATCCTTTGCCACAGTTGTTCTCCCTCACATAATTCTAGGAAGAATTAAACAGAAAATAGTTTAGGAAAGCAGAAATCAGTGATTACAGTTCCTATTTATATCATGAAATATTTAATTACAAATAGGTAACCACCCATTTCTGATAGCCTAAAGTATTTGCTGCTTAATTTGTATTTAAGCTTTTCTTCCTTGATTCCTGTCACAATTATATCCATCAGTCTTTAGTCAGTCTTTAGTTCCCTTTCTTATGTAAGGGAACTCAGTCTTGCATCATCTTTCTCACACTTGAGGTCAGACTTACTTATCACTTGTCTTTCACTTAAATGTGTTAACTGTGTAGGTATCCAGAATTTTAAATGTTTCTTTCTTCAAAGTTCTTGATTGCACCCTAGCTCTTCCTCCTTGATTTTGTATTCTTTTATATCCATCATTTACCAAGAAGCTGTTTTTTTGAAATTAACTCAAGCTCAATCAGAATCGTTTCTCACACATATACAGTGGAGCCTTGGTACTCAAACTTAATTCAATCCAAAAGGCTGTTCGAGTGCTGATCTGTTCAAGTGTCGAACAAATTTTTCCCGACCAATTTTCTTTTTGGTTGGCTGTTATCACTAATCTTCGTAGACCCTATGGTGACTTATTTATACAAATAATATAAAAAATGTGAAGAAACACAAAATAGTTTAAAGCAAAGTTCTGGCAGGTCATGTTTGTTTGGTCGAGTCCTGAGCTTTGCTCGAGTACCGAGGTTCCACTGTATACACTTGGTTTCTGTTGTTACTCTGCTATTAAAGTCCTCCATCTGTTGATTTGTGTAGGCTCCTTCTGTAAGTAGATTTTCTTAAACTCTGTAACTACCACATATGCACATTATATCGTGTTTTTTTTGTTCGAAGTTCTGTTACCTAAGTGGCTTATCCACTAAGTATTTTTCCAAACAAAGGCTTCTCTGTAATCCAGGGTACTCTACCTTTAGATTACTTTCTTCTCTGATTTCTGTCATATAAAGTCCTCACCCTGGTCAGAGCATGCAACTCCCAACCATAAGGTCCTGGCTTTGATTTTTACGCTGGGCAAGACAAGGGCATAAGTATCTTTTAACACCCAGAAACTCTGTTCATCTAGAAGTACATAGGTACCTGTGTTTTGACTGTTGTGAATCGTATCCTTGGACAGTGTTTCACATAAACTATGGTAGAATATCAGGTCTTACTCTGTAAAAATGACTCTCTAAAAACCCACTGTTCCATCTTGACTCATCAGATCTGTAATGTATCTATTTTTCTCATAAGTTTTAATCTATTATTAAGCACCTTCTTCCTGCACCTTACATGGATGTTATCTTATCTAAAACAGAAGAGTTTCTTAGCATTTCCTTGGATCCAGTAACCTCTACCTACTTCACATATGTTCCACCTTCACTGTGTGTCAGCTTTAATCCTGTGGAAAATATTTAGATTTTCTTTATAATTAGACCTATTAATATTGTTGTTATTTTTCCTATAAGAAAGATTAAAGTATGCAGTATTTAGATGAATTTAACTATGAATTAAATGCTATTTACTTGTAGGTAAATTTCAATTATGTTTAGATGGAGAATTAAGCCTCCACCTCATCTGTGCTGTATGACCCACGTAGGTTTAGCATTTAACATGAATTAAACTATAAAACTCTTAACTTTTTTCCAAGTCATGGTAGCCCTAAATTGCACCTTCATAAATGAGCTTCATTAAATAATGATAAAAAAGTGCCACGATTTACGATTGTCACATATTGAAAACTTCCTAGAAGGATGCGTCTTAATCAATGATCTACTGTATAAATCTGATGGTAAATACTTATATCCAGTAAAATAAAACAAAGTGACTGTTTACTATGATAGGCATCTTCCCTTTTATTGTAAATACAGTATGTCAGATAAAGTAAATAGCATTGAGAGATAGCTGTGCGACAGTTGCTTACTCTGGAAGGTGTCTTTGCTCGATACAGAGTAAACTGTCAGTGCCCCTGTACATCCCAAACAACAACAACGACAACTTGATCAAGGAGAATTGACTGTCAATTCAAGTTTGGTGCTCATATTTTGACTGAGCTACTCGAGTTGAGTTATTCTCTTTATGGAATCTCACATTCTTTCATATATGTACTAGTTAAGTCTAGCAGCTCTGAAATATGATTCTATGACTGAAGGTGAGACTGGTCATAAGTAAGCTTGAATGGAGTTTTTCACCTAGGGTGAAACTGTGTTTTAAGAGGGTTAGTAGCTGTCATGGGCTGCATCCTGGGAAGGATTTATGAAAGGACTCCCATGGAAAAAAAAAAAGCCACACAGCTTGACACTTTTTACTTATCCTGGGTCATTACCAATGTCACTTATTCTGTCATAAATTTTCATGTTATCTAGTTTACCCTTTTCACACGTCTTTCCTTGTATATAAACCTTCCATCTGATTCGCCATTTTATGGAGCCATTTCACTTGAGTATATCTGTAATACAGGGACCTTTTACTCAGCCTTTTTTTTATTCATGTACAGTAGATAACTTGAACCTATTCTCCATCTTAATAAGTTCCTGTATGTAATATATGGAGAGCATTTAAATCTGTAGGAGAAGGAAGGCGGGGTATGGGTCGTCCTCGAAAAGGTTGGAAGGAAGGGGTAAGGGAGGTTTTGTGGGCGAGGGGCTTGGACTTCCAGCAGGCGTGCATGAGCATGTTAGATAGGAGTGAATGGAGACGAATGGTATTTGGGACCTGGCGATCTGTTGGAGTGTGAGCAGGGTAATATTTAGTGAAGGGATTCAGGGAAACCGGTTATTTTTATATAGCCGGACTTGAGTCCTGGAAATGGGAAGTACAATGCCTGCACTCTAAAGGAGGGGTTTTGGGATATTAGCAGTTTGGAGGGATATGTTATGTATCTTTATACGTATATGCTTCTAAACTGTTGTGTTCTGAGCACCTCTGCAAAAACAGTGATAATGTGTGAGTGTGGTGAAAGTGTTGAATGATGATGAAAGTATTTTCTTTTTGGGGATTTTCTTTCTTTTTGGGTCACCCTGCCTCGGTGGGAGACGGCCGACTTGTTGAAAAAAAAAAATGTAATATATTAATTTGTGTATTGTTGTCTTGCATTTTGGTGCTAGTTTTGTGTGTTATCCACCACTTTTTATGTTTTTATTCACATTGCCCTGTATTTAAAACATTGCTGATGCACTATTATGTTTTTTCATTTAATTTCAGTACATCTTTCCTTGCAATTTTATATAATCCATTTCAGTTAGTTTCCTATTAGAGAATTTGTTAATGAGTGCTATTGTTTTTTCCACAGACAGGCTTAGATGTGATGATTTTTTTTATAAGCAAATCTGACTTGTAGAACACACAAAAATGGATGAAACTTGACATGTTATTCAGTATTTTTCTTAACCACTTCAGAATGGTAGTGAGTGATTTTGAAACAAGTTTGGTGCAAGTTCCCATAGCACCACACCTCAAGGTTCCTCCTGGCTTACTAAACATACCAAACATTCTGCAGCCTCATCAGGTTAGTTAGAAATATCAGGGAAATATACAAGAAATGGTAATTATTATTATTTAATATTATTGCTGCTGTATCTCTCTATCTATAATTATTTCTTTTTATACTTGTACTAAAATTTTGACTCATTATACAGATAACCCGTACATAGGAGAAAGAAACTCGTAACGATATTTTAGTCCGACTTGGACCATTAACTAGCCATACACTGCGACTACTTACGACTGAAACATCGTCATAAGTTTTTCTCCTGTGTGCAGTTATTTGTGTATTCCAGTCATGGTATTGTGCCTTTTTCTTCTCTATTTTTACTCATCCTTATTTTGTTGCATAATTTAATTTGCATTTGTATTGATATAGTACACTCATATATATAGCCCACCTCTGTAAAGGTAGACAATTTTTCTTAAATTTGCAGTGCTGTATAGGTACTTTTTTATGTTAAAATTTTATGCTTGTAGTATTGTCCCTGGACTGGCTCACTAATTAATTAAAACTTAAATAATTAAACTATTTGATAACTTTTATTGATCATTAGGATTCACATCTGGTATTGTATTTTGAGATTGATACTGTATGCATATTATATATGGCATGATCTATTTCTTTTGTTATGTTTTCTGTATATTAGTCCCTGCAGGATCTTCCTCTTATTTTCTACATTTATGTCTCTTATTTCCATTCCCATGGCTGCAGCCATGGCTACAGTCCCATGGCTGCAGTACCATGGCTGCAGTACCTGGGCTCGTTCCATGGGTGCATACCATGGCTGCAGTTCTAAGGCTGCAGTTCCATGGCTGCAATCCATGGTGCAGTTCCATGGCTGCAGTCCATGGTGCAGTTTCCATGGCTGCAGTCCATGGCTGCAGTCTCAGGCTGCAGTTCCATGGCTGCATTCTCATGGCTGCAGTCCCATGGCTGCAGTACCATGGCTACAGTCCCATGGCTGCAGTACCATGGCTGCAGTCTCATGGCTGCAGTTCCATGGCTGCAATCTCATGGCTGCAGTTCCATGGCTGCAGTCTCATGGCTGCAGTCTCATGGCTGCAGTTCCATGGCTGCAGTCTTATGCTGCAGTACATGCTGCAGTCCATGGCTGCAGTCCCATGGCTGCAGTCCCATGGCTGCAGTCTCATGGCTGCAGTCTCATGGCTGCAGTCTCATGGCTGCAGTTCCATGGCTGCAGTCTCATGGCTGCAGTACCATGGCTGCAGTCTCATGGCTGCAGTACATGGCTGCAGTTTTCATGGCTGCAGTACCATGGCTGCAGTCTCATGGCTGCAGTACCATGGCTGCAGTCCCATGGCTGCAGTCTCATGGCTGCAGTACCATGGCTGCAGTCCTATGGCTGCAGTTCCATGACTGCAGTCCTATGGCTGCAGTCTCATGGCTGCAGTCCCATGGCTGCAGTCCCATGGCTGCAGTCTCATGGCTGCAGTCTCATGGCTGCAGTTCCATGGCTGCAGTCTCATGGCTGCAGTTCCATGGCTGCAGTCTCATGGCTGCAGTTCCATGGCTGCAGTCCCATGGCTGCAGTTCCATGGCTGCAGTCCCATGGCTGCAGTTCCATGGCTGCAGTTCTATGGCTGCAGTTCCATGGCTGCAGTTCCAGTAAAGGGTTAAAATGCCATGGAGGGAATTACATAGACTTGGTCTCTTCCCACATCTGTCGGAATATTAATTCCCTTTTGCTACAGTTCATATATTTTAATCCCATTACTTAATTACTTTACTATGCACAGCACCTTTGCAATACATTTTCAGGAATATCCATAAAGCATTCCATTTTAGTTTGTCAGGTTTTGTCTTCTTTCATGAATATCACTTATAACACCCTTCTTTAGACTGAAATTTTATGATTCTTTCCATATTCTCTCATATTATGCATACCATACTCTGCTGTATATGTTATTGCTATATTTGGCTTCCATCTGTGTATTTTGTTTTTTAACATACTATCCGTCTCCCACCGAGGTAAACTGACCCAAAAAAGAAGAAACACTTTCACCATCACTCACTTTATCACTGTCTTGCCAGAGGCACACCAGTGTTACAGTTCAGATGCCCCTCCAATCTGTAACATCCCCATCTCTCCTTCAGAGTGCAAGAACTGTACTTCCCAACTCCAGGACTCATGTCCAGCTAACTGGTTTCCTTGTATCCCTTCATAAATGTTTCCTTGCCTACACATGTCAGGACTTAAAATCCACTTACCTCTACTCCTGTCTAACATGCTCATGCACGCCTGTTGGATGTCATGCCCCTTGCACACAAAACTACCTTTACCTCCCTTCCATTCAACCAGTCCAAGGACAACCCCTACCCCTCCTTCCCTCCTATAGCACATGCACACTCGAACTTAATTTATAATTATGAATTTTTCGTACAAAAAAACTCAAGTGAACGTAACCTTTCCCAGACAACTGTTGGAGATCGCCCGAAACGCATTTTGGTGGAAGGAGAACCAGGATATGGTATTAGTACCTTAGCCCTTAAAATGGCATATGACTGGGCTTTTGATCCTACTGGATCATACCTCTCTTCCTACAGGTAAATAATGTTCAATACTATATTCCCTATGATTATATACACATGTATATATATATATTTTTTTTAACAAATATATTTTTTATTTTTAAAAAAAGACACATTGGTGATTGAGAGTTTTTGTTTACAGGGTTAAGTAAAACATTTCAAGCAAACTAAAACTTAGAATTGGACATTGACCACCTCAAGTTAGATTTTGTGAATGCTGCATTACCTGAAGACAATACGTATTGTGAAATAGTGATCATTCTAAGAAACAAAATTCTGTTAAAACAGAAATATTAATATGGAAGGACAGTAGTACAAAGCAGCAGTGAAAGTTTTATTAATAAATTTTCCAAGGATAGTGATTTTTTTTTTTTCAATAAACTGGCTGTGTCCCACTGAGGCAGGGTGACCTAAAAAGATAAACAAAAGTTTTTTTCTTTTAAATTTAGTAATTTATACAGGAGAAGGGGTTACTAGTCTCTTGCTCCTGGCATTCTAGTCGCCTCTTATGACACGCATGGCTTACGGAGGAGGGATTCTTCTCCACTCCACCATGGAGAATGATAGTAATATAGTATGTATATACAAGAATGTATGAGTGCTTGCTGATTTGTAATCTGGTTGCCTTAAATACAGTGGAACCTCAAATATCGAACTTTGTTTGGTCCAGAAGTCTGTTCGAGTGCCTTTACCGAATGAATTTATTCCCATCAGGAATAATGTAAATTAGATTAGTCCATTTCAGACCCTCAAAAATACACTTATAAAAGCACTTACAAAAATACACTTACATAATTGGTTGTGTTGGGAGCAGTTTGAGTTTTGAGGTTCCACTGTACATCTGATATTAATATTTAATTCTCATAAGTTACTTCAAGTGTAGGAAGTGTTTTGTAACTTTGAAAATGTAGAGAGTTAATGGGTTTCTTTTTTAATGCAACGGCCATCTCTTACTAAGGCAGAGTGACCTGAAAAAGAAGAAACGTAAAGTTTTTCTTCTTTTTACATTCAATAATTTATACAGTAGAAGAAGTTACTAGCTCCTTGCTCTCATTTAACATGTATATGGTCATGTTAGTTTTTTGGAGTGTCTGCTGAGGTTGAGTCAAACTCGTGAAAGCTTAAAGAAGTGCAGTTGGGGCACCACTTATACAGCAGGTTAGGTTCCGGGCTACTGTAGGGCCCCACTTATACACCAGGTTAGGTTCCAGACTACTGTAGGGCCCCGCTTATACACCAGGTTGGGTTCCGGGCTACTGTAGGGCCTTACTTATACAGCAGTTTAGGTTACGGGCTATTGTATGGCCTTGCTTATACAGCTGGTTAGGTTCTGGGCTACTGTAGGGCCCCACTTATACAGCAGGTTAGGTTCTGGGCTACTGTAGGGCCTTGCTTATACAGCAGGTTAGGTTCCAGGCTACTGTAGGGCCTTGCTTATACAGCAGGTTAGGTTCCAGGCTACTGTAGGGCCCTGCTTATACAGCAGGTTAGGTTCTGGACTACTGTAGGGCCTTGCTTGTACAGCAGGTTAGGTTCCAGGCTACTGTAGGGCCTTGCTTATATAGCAGGTTAGGTTTCAGGCTACTGTAGGGCTTTGCTTATACAGCTGGTTAGGTTCCGGGCTACTGTAGGGCCTTGCTTATACAGCAGATTCGATTCTGGGCTACCGTAGGGCCTTGCTTATACAGCAAGTTAGGTTCCAGGCTACTGTAGGGCCCTGCTTATAAAGCAGGTTAGGTTCCAGGTTATTGTAGGGCCCTGCTTATACAACAGGTTAGATTCCGGGCTACTGTAGGGCCATGCTTATACAGCAGGTTAGGTTCTGGGCTATTGTAGGGCCTTGCTTATACAGCAGGTTAGATTCTGGGCTACTGTAGGGCCCCACTTATACAGCAGGTTAGGTTCTGGGCTACTGTAGGGCCCTGCTTGTACAGCAGTTAGATTCTGAGCTACTGTAGGGCCTTGCTTATAAAGCAGGTTAGATTCTGGGTTACTGTAGGGCCCCGCTTATACAGCAAGTTAGATTCCAGGCTACTGTAGGGCCTTGCTTATACAGCAGGTTAGATTCCAGGCTACTGCAGGGCCCCACTTATAAAGCAGGTTAAGTTCTGTGCTACTGTAGGGCCCAGCTTATACAGCAAGTTAGATTCCAGGCTACTGCTGTACATTGAAAATCACTGTAAAGTGAAACAGAGTCTTTTTGTCCTTTCAAATATATATGAAGGTCTGATAACATGTTTACAATATTGTATATTAACCCGTTCAGGGTCGGCAGGCCTTCTCCTAAACCTGTTCTCAGGGTCGGAAATTAAAAAAAAAAAAAAATTATTTTTTCTTATGAAATGATAGAAAAACTTTTCCTGATCATATTGACACCAAAAGTAAGAAATTTGATAGAAAACTTAACAGAATTATGCTCTCACGAAGTTAGCTGTCTCGGCGATGTTTACGCATAGGCGATTTCGCCCACTTTGAGCCCTATTTTCGGCCAATTCCAATGTACAAGTCGACAAAAATTGTAACGATTTTGCTAGAACTCCATTTTTTCTATCGAATGAGTACAAGAAACCACCCATTTACCAATTTCAACTATCCAATAAAGTGGTCAGAAATTGGCAATTTTGCCAATTTCACACAAATTTCAAAAGATGCCAATTTCCAAATAGGGTCCAGAATAAACAAGACAGACATTCCTGGCACTAAAATAATATTTCCTCTGTTCATTAGTCACGTCCGCAGGCCTCCGTTACATTTCTTTTGCTTTCTACTATGAATTTTTATTCTCACAAACAATAGAAGATTTACTGTTATGTAGTCTACTGCATTAGTGTAGAAATGGTATAAATAGTATCAGCACACTTGTGAAATAATATTAGGCTCACCAGTTGACATGTATTGGACGCATGGCATGATTTGTTTACTTTTGAACTTTGGCAAAAATCGAACATTTCTGCTACTTTGAGCTCAATTTCAAGGTACTTTTCTTTGTGAAACCAATCAAAATCATCTCAATTTCTTTAATATGTCTTCCATTCTTTAAAATGAGACCAGGAAAACTAGAATACAACCATAAATAGCATACGAAAATACACTGCAAACTCGCTGTTTTAAACCAAAAATACGGTTGGAGTTTTTTTTTTCTCATTACGCACTGTGTGCTGCAGGATTTTTTTTATACTGCACACACTGACCACATAGACCCATTCTTTCATATGTAGGCTTACCAGCTTTCTTTCACTAGATTTGAAGGTACTAGAATTTTGTGCGTACTAGTACGACACCAACCCTGGCGTGCAAGCCGTACTAGTACGACACTAACCCTGAAAGGGTTAAGTGAGCACTAAAGTTAGGCCTAAAAATTACATATCCATTACACACATTACTTTAAATTATTTTCATCGTTTGCTTATAGTGAGTGGTGAATATATTTATTGTAGGAAGTCTTAAGTAAATGAAGAATGAGTCTAATTAAATACTGCTGCCTTAATGAAACGCCGTAAAGCGAAGCTCTGTAAAGCAGGTCCCTCCTGTATTCATTTCTTGCTTTGTATCTATGTATTCTATGTTCATTCTCTAAGAAGATTTTTCGTGGAGGGGTGTTAATGTTGCAGTTTAAAAACTGTAATGTAAAGCACCCTTCTGGCAAGACAGTGATGGAGTAAATGATGGTGAAAGTTTTTCTTTTTCGGGCCACCTGCCTTGGTGGGAATCGGCCAGTGTGATAATAAAAAAAAAATATGTTATTGGAATATTCCAACTCTTGTGTATTTTAATATTTTCTTGTACTTCAGCTTGGTGTTTGTCCTGACGTTACGAGATTTTAGAGGTGGTTGCTTATTTTCCTACTTGTGTAAAGAAATTCTCCCGAGGCATATATTAAGTAAAGAAGCTATGAATACTCTCTGGAATCATATGAAGAAAATTGAGGATAAGGTAATATTATTTTTCTTTGTCATTATCTTTGGTCAATGGTAAGTACTATGCATCCAGTTCCTCTATAAAATTTAGTCTGAAACATGACAAAATTTTTTAGTGTACCTGGTCTGTTCAGTCAGCTTTTTTGTCTAAAAGTCCATTTGTCAGAGGGTATGGGGACATAGGAGAGAGCAGCTTATGATGACATATCAGTCCGACTTGGACCATTTGCAAGTCACACTGTGACTTGTAAGTGGTCCAAGTCAGACTGAAATGTCTTTGCAAGCATTTGGGTATTGTGACTTTCTGTTCTTTATTGGGCAGTCCATTGGCATTCTGTAATTGTAAAAAGGCTAAGAACCCCAGGTATTTTATACCATTTTCAACATTATATACAATGGTGGCCATTTTGTTTTTCAACCATAAAAGGTACTGCTATTTTTTCTTAACATTGTCCCACCAGGTGCTGTTTTTGATAGTTGGCTATGATGAACTGAGCGAAGAGGAGAGTGGGGATATTTCAGAGCTGGTTGAGGGACAGCTGTTTTCCAATTCTACGTTTGTTATCACCTCTCGTCGTGGGGCCTCCAAGCCTCTTCCGCCAGTACTGCATAGACGACTTCTAATAGCTGGCCTCTCTCCTGATCAGACTCACCGCTTTATTCTGCGGTACTTTGAGGCTATAAAGAAACCTGGTAGTGGAAATGAGGTAAGACAACACCTGAACTAATTTTTGTGTGATTACTATACCTATTTGTGATCACTATACCTATTTGGGATTATACCTATTTGTGATTGATTATTTGTAGCTACAGGAACAGTGCTGAGCTTTTGATCTTATTCTGTCATAATTATTGTAAAGTTCCCAGTGGTTGTAGCACTTGCTACCTCCTCATATAAGCCATTGCCTTGATCTACTCTGCAAAGGAAAACTCCTTCACTATTATTTTTGGGAACTCTTTCCTTGAAATTTGTAGTTATGACTTCATGTTATAATTTTGAATGTGGTTATCATGTCTGCTCCTCTGTAGATAGTTCAGTATATGCATAGTTTTTTGTCTTGTTTGAAAAAATATTGGGCATGTCATGTGCCCTCTATTTTCAACACAGCAGTTTATATTTTGGTTTCTCCTTATGTCTTTTTTGAGGTAGAATACATTATTAGTTAAGCCACTTGAATAAATAATTAATTTAGAAAGCATCACGAAAAATATAAACTGTATTTCAATGTAGATCCACTGTTAATATCATGTTCAGTGTTCTTTTTTCTAAAATAACAAAAGAATAGTTTGTGAAGACTTTTTCTGTGATACCAGTGGTTTAGCTTTTATTTTTTTTTTTTTGTATTATAATAGAAGAGTCGTTGTATGTGGCCATGCTGTTGGAGTGTGAGGAAAATAACATGCAAGAAGGGATTCAGGGATTCTGGTTAACCGGACTTAGTCCTGGAGGTGGTTACACTCTGAAGGAGGTGTGGGAATGTTGCAGTTGAAAGAAAGTCTGAATTGTGATGTCAGGATATTTCTAGAAAAACAGCAGTTGAATGAATGATGGGGAATGTATTTTTCTTCAGGTCCCCCTGCTTTGGCAGGGGATGGCTGTTATGCCTTTGATGAGTTCTGGGAATTTTTCTACTCCTAGAGCCCGGCCATAGGCCATGTTTGTCTGGTGCTTACCTGGTCAACCATGCTGTTGCTGTTGGTTGTCCGCTGACCCACATATCTATCACAGTCTGGTTGATCCGTCACCTGGTGATGGTACTTGTCAAATTACACTTGTTCTCTGTGAACAGTCTATTACTTGTGTAGTTTAAATGTCCTAGCAACATTTATAGGCAGTCTCCCTTGTCAAGCCTAGCCATATAGACCCCCCTTCCCCTCCCATTTTACCACACAGTTAGGCCAGAGCCCTCACTCTCACTCTCTCAACCAGGCCAGGGACAGGCAGATGTATAGGCTGGGCTCGCAATGTATACCAATACATCACCTCTATAACAGTTCAACAGTTGTTTCCTTTATACCATCACTTCTTATATCAAACCCTAACATCTCTTTCAGGTGCTGTCTCTGATATCTGCTAGCCATGATAAATACTGGGAACTGATCACCTGTCCTGTGATGTGCCTAGCATTAGGAGTTCTCTATGAAGACTTGGGGGGTAAGCTGCCTTCTAGATTAACTGATATGTACATGTCACTCGTCAAGTACATGATCAGAAAGAATTTGATCAACAGAGGCGAACCCATGTGCTATGATGTATTACCTGATAAATACAACAAGCTTTTATCAGTAAGTATAGTAATAGTTTTGGGGTACCTCATGTTGTGTAACGATTTTTAAAAATAATTTTTTATGTTACCTATTTAAGTAACAAATGGAGCAGTGCTCTTGGTTTCATGTCATCTATTCAGTGTTTCATTTGTTATACACCTACCATCCGACTTACGACCTGCTCGACATACGACCACTCCACTTACGACCGTGTTCTTTATGCCAAATTTCTGGGAAATAAACAGCTATTTGTGTTGCACACAGTGTTTATCCTAAACCTTACAGTATAAAATACAGTACTAACAGCATAAAAAGTAAAGTAAAACATGAAATACCAAAATAAAGCAATAAAATAAAGTCATTATAAAAATGTGATGTTGATATTCAGTAGTAAAGTTCAATTTACGTCCATTTCGACTTACGACCAGTTTCTTGGAACCGAACTCGGTCGTAAGTCGGATGGTACCTGTATAAATTTTTAATGTGTCCAGTAGTTGCAGCATAGACAATTTTCCTCTGGATCTCATGCTTTGTACCACTGTTTGTGAAGAAATAAATTTCCAGTGTTCTTCCTGCACTGTTATAATCTGAGTTTGTGGTCTCTTATTCTGTCTGGTGGTGCCAAAAAATTCTTACTTTGTCTTGTACTATCCTGTTAAGTTATTATATCTTATCTTTCCATTTGGTTTACTAATGAGGTCATCTCCAGTATTTTCAGTCTTTTCATAATTCATATTTATTAACTCTAGGATAAATTTTGTTGTACATTATATTTTAAGTTTAATAAAGTTGGTAGAATTACCAACAATATGTAAAGTAAAAGACTTGACAAAGCTCCTGGAGAGTGAAACGTTGCCACAATAAAAATGTCATATTAGTTGCACTTGTGTCCTTTTTACATTACATATTTTAAGTGTACAACAGAAAATTTCAGTTTTATTTTAGTGTATATTGTAAAACATTTTAATATCATTTCACCATACACTCGACAGTACTGGTATTTTACATAATTAGAATCTGCACAAGTGCTAAGAAATCAGATTGCAAAAACCCACCAAATCAATTCTTTATTGATGAAAAGATTACAGCAATAGGTGTACTACATAAGAGTATGTAATTTGTAAATTTTTTACAGAGTCTGTATTATACATAGCAGTTCGGACAGTGAGTCTCATTATTTACACAACCCAGGAAAACATGGTTTTAGAACAAGATGCTTTTGGATCCTAGTTTAGGATACACTTAAAAGTAATATACCAAGGCAGTAGTGTAGACAGACCTTTCTAAGCACTGACAAATATTAGTGTAATGGTATGTATTACGCTTACAAGAGCAATATCTAGGAAAGTGTTATGATGGAACTTTAATTTTCTAATAAACCAAATATGTACTAGCAATTTTACCAACACCAAAACATTATATTTTTGTAATCTGAAGTCATTTTAATTCTAGACTTGTGAGAAGAGAGATCAATTTAAAAAAAGTAATATAGGAAAAAATATTTTCTTAGGATTAACCACTTCAAGTTGTGTTACAAGAGAGTTGAGAAGAAAGTGTTTCGACAGCAACCTGACATGCTAGGCTGCAAGGGTAAAAGAATTCTTGAAACTGGTCGCATAAGTATTGAAGGTCGTGTCGTAGGTCTTTCATAATTGTAACTGATGTTGCAGGATTTTGGAAAGATGGCTTTGGAAGCTTTGAAGATGAATGTTTCTTACTTCACCGGACAAGACCTGAAGACAAAGTGTCAACATGGAGGGGAGATTATTGACCTTGGCATCTTGTTGAAAATGCAGTCTATGTCGAAGTTAACCAAAAAGGATCACTACACTCCCGTTCATAAATCTTTCTTGGAGTTTTTAGGAGCTTTCTACCTGTCAGGGCTCATTCACGACACTACGTTATTGCAAGCGGAAATTGACGTCATTGCAGAGAAACTGGACATCTCTCACCCAGTATTGAGGTATAAAAAATTTAGAAACCAAATTTATTTTCATATTTTGTTTCATTTTGATGCATTCAAAAGTTGGTAAAAGCTAATGATAAACAACTTGTGTAAATATATTTTTCCCTTGAACTTGTAAAGAAAAAGCTTGAATCTAAATACAGTGGACCCCCGCTTAATGATCACCTCCAAATGCAACCAATTTTTTTTTTTTTTTTTTTTTTCAACAAGTCGGCCGTCTCCCACCGAGGCAGGGTGACCCAAAAAAAAAGAAAGAAAATCCCCAAAAAGAAAATACTTTCATCATCATTCAACACTTTCACCACACTCACACATTATCACTGCTTTTGCAGAGGTGCTCAGAATACAACAGTTTAGAAGCATATATGTATAGAGATACACAACATATCCCTCCAAACTGCCAATATCCCAAACCCCTCCTTTAAAGTGCAGGCATTGTACTTCCCATTTCCAGGACTCAAGTCCGACTATATGAAAATAACCGGTTTCCCTGAATCCCTTCACTAAATATTACCCTGCTCACACTCCAACAGATCGTCAGGTCCCAAGTATCATTCGTCTCCATTCACTCCTATCTAACACGCTCACGCACGCTTGCTGGAAGTCCAAGCCCCTCACCCACAAAACCTCCTTTACCCCCTCTTTCCAACCCTTTCGAGGACGACCCCTACCCCTCTTTCCTTCCCCTATAGATTTATATGTAAGTGTAAGTGTATTTATGTAAGTGTATTTATGTAAGTGCGTTTGTATGTGTATGTTTGGGGGTCTGAAATGGAGTAATCTACTTCACAATATTCCTTATGGGAACAAATTCGGTCAGTACTGGCACCTGAACATACTTCTGGAATGAAAAAATATCGTTAACCGGGGGTCCACTGTATGTAATTCATTAATAAGGCGATACAGCTCACTGAATCGTGCAGTATATGATGTACTCGCCTAGTTGTGGTTGCAGGGGTCAAGTCGTAGCTCCTGTGTGTGTATGTATGCATATGAATGTATGTATATGGATGTATGTATATGACCATGTGTATGTATGTATGTATGTAAATATATAGATGTTGTGCTGAATAGGTAAAACTTGTGATTCTGGCTTAAATAGCAATGCTCTTATGGCTGAATAAGGCAAGTGAAAATTTGTGTATGCAATAATTTTGCAAAAATCATTCTGAAAGTAATGAAAAAAAAATTTAATTGTATTTGTTTATTATTAAATTATTGTAAACTTATCTAAAATATATTTAGTTGGACTAGGCTAAATTATATTGTGCTTGTTATAATAAGGTTAGGTAAGTTTTCTAAGCTAGGTAGTAGGTTGGTAGACAGCAACCACCCATGGAGGTACTTGAGGTGGTTGAGATATCAACACACTATTGGAAAGACAGCGATTGAATGAATGATGGTGAATATTTTTTCTGAAATGTTTTTTCTTTCAGTCATCATGCCTTGGTGGGAGATGGCCATCAAGTTTAAAAAAAAATTCTGTATTGGTGTTTTTTCCCCTTTTTTTGTTTTCAGTCAAAATTCTGGTCTAATGGTGCTCAAGTACTTAGTAGGACTGTTGGGAAGAAATGCTCACATCATCTTCAATATTGTGTCCCAGATGGGAGTCCCACAAAGAATACTTTTCCTGCTACTGAAGGAGAGTGGCATGTACCAGATGAACGTCCTGGAGGTGAGCTCAAACGTATAACAATTATGACAATAACAGTAGTTATAATAATGTACTATTAAAATAATAATAATAATATTTTGTTCATAATAGTACTATACTACAATATAATATTATTATTATTGTTATTATTTTTTATCATTATTATTGTTTTGATATGCTGTACATTACTTACTGTTTTTATTTTCTTACTGTTACTATCTCATCTTCCACATTCGAGGATTCTCATAAAAGTCTTGTTGCTCATAGGCTCTGACTGCGAGTTGTCAACTGTATCACTGTTGCAATAAAACTGCACTCTAATTTGTTGACCATTAAAATTTTATGTTGCACTATGGTACTATAAATCTGGACTGGTTGGGGCCAAAGTCTTTCCAACAACTGAATTCTCCAGAGTTCAGATGCACTAATTAAATTATTTACTGTGTATGCATATATATAGTTGTTTACTGTATTGTATGCATATACTGGAGGCAAATAATACCAGTAGTTGATACATAGCTAACAGTTTAATAGGCCAGTACAAATTGTAGAGTTTGGGGTCTGGGAAATTTTTGTTCCTAGATTTAATTTTTGGGGATTTCTGGTTCCCTAGAAATCCCCCCCCTCCCCCAAATCAGAATTTCTGAAGTTCTTGGAGTTTGAAGTTTGCACTTGTAGAATCCTCCTATATTTAAATAAATATTAGTTATTGTATTATTATTTTCATAATTGTTGTTATGTAAAGCAGAAACTGAATTTTCTATAAAGTACGTACAGTGGACCCCCGCATAACGATCACCTCCCAATGCGACCAATTATGTAAGTGTATTTATGTAAGTGCGTTTGTACGTGTATGTTTGGGGGTCCGAAATGGACTAATCTACTTCACAATATTCCTTATGGGAACAAATTCGGTCAGTACTGGCACCTGAACAAACTTCTGGAATGAAAAAAATATCGTTAACCGGGGGTCCACTGTACTTCATTTTGATTTGTACTGCTGTCAGAGTTTTAAGCACTTATTACATAGTATTAATGTATTCTTTTGAAGTATGAAAAGCTACTTTCTGTGAACAACCTGCTAGCACTTACATATCAAATACCCATTTTATAAATGAATATGGAATACAAAATCATTTCAATTGTTTTGTCTGCCACCTTAGAAATGGCATCATAAGAAATATTTTGCATACTGCCAAAAGTAGTCTTCATATTTCAAAAATGTAGTACTGCACATATTCTGTGGTTGGTGGGACTCGATGCACATCATCACAGCCTCGAGGAGGAGCAGGGCATCAGTGTAGTAAAATAATGACATGTAAATTGGAGGGAGGCTTGGAGAATTATCTTTCAGTCTTTCCAAGTGAAAAAAAAAAAAGCAAGCATGGAATTAAATGCTTGCAAAATTATATAGAATATGGTGATGGAAATATAAACATATATGCAGTATAATGTGATCCTTTATTGACAATGTTTCACCCACACAGTGGGCTTTTTCAAGTCACACACAGATCTAAAAAGCCCACTGTGTGGGTGAAATGTTGTCAATAAAGGATCACATTATACTGCATATGTGTTTATATTTCCACTGTGTCAGTATTTGATACCATTCATTTCCACAATATGGTGATAACCAATTTTCACTACAACATAGGTTATTAATGGCCAGTGCTGAAACTTTGATATAATTGCTTAGGCAAGTGTGTTCCTCTCTGGCATCCTAATCTAACTTACTGTTTATGGTCATTCATAATCTTTGTATGCACTTAACCCCTCTTTAGGAGCAGACCCAGGCTCTTTTCTGAATAAATACAGTAAATCCTGAGTACACACTACAGCTGTACTTGCTTCTCCCCACCAACTGAGTTTCAACTGGAAGATTTAGAAATTGGGCAGGGAAAAGTGAGAAGGGGACCACACGTAATTTCAGTTAAAATTGTCCCTCAAAGGTAAAAAGTGGGGATAGCAGTCAAAGCATAAGCTTAGCAGTTGATGGTAAATGATAAAGGGTAAATCACATATGAATGCCAGAAAGAAAATCAAGATCATGACACCCTGTAATGTCAGCCTAAGTCATTATAAGAGACTCATCGCCTGGTATATGTGGTGATGTGCGGCAGAAAAGAATAAACGCTACCACAGCTAGAATCCAGGTTAGTCAGTTAATGAATTCCTTATTGTTTCATCTCTTTGTGGCAATGTGTAGAGACTGTTTTCTGCATCTGTAAGTTAGGCTGAGAACCCCATAATCAAGTATGGTAACTTAAGCTTTATAGCTTTGATCTCCTCATGCCTGCATTTTCCTTTGTTGTTTGGACTTGGTGCCCATTATTTTTCTGCCATGCAGCGTGCAGTGCTAGTGGAACAACTGCCTGACTGTCTCTCTATATGCAGAATAAACTTAAGTAACATGCCTATTCCTCCAACTTAGGAGAACAAATAAGTTTAATGTAAACACTAATATTAGTGCCAGGGCATCTGTTATGATAATTAATCAAACGTTTCATAATCAAATAGTGTAGAATATTTAGACACTGTACATACAATGAATAAACAGCATTTTTAAGGAAAAACTACTTTTTTTTTTTTATCACACTGGCCGATTCCCACCAAGGCAGGGTGGCCCGAAAAAGAAAAACTTTCACCATCATTCACTCCGTCACTGTCTTGCCAGAAGGGTGCTTTACACTACAGTTTTTAAACTGCAACATTAACACCCCTCCTTCAGAGTGCAGGCACTGTACTTCCCATCTCCAGGACTCAAGTCCGGCCTGCCGGTTTCCCTGAACCCCTTCATAAATGTTACTTTGCTCACACTCCAACAGCACGTCAAGTATTAAAAACCATTTGTCTCCATTCACTCCTATCAAACACGCCCACGCATGCCTGCTGGAAGTCCAAGCCCCTCGCACACAAAACCTCCTTTACCCCCTCCCTCCAACCTTTCCTAGGCCGACTCCTACCCCGTCTTCCTTCCACTACAGACTGATACACTCTTGAAGTCACTCTGTTTCGCTCCATTCTCTCTACATGTCCGAACCACCAAACTACTATTACTTTTAAAGAAAATGTGAAAATGCATTGTTAAATCTAGAGAAACAAGGGACCTCTTTTGATGACCGAGTTTCAAGAGCTAGATATGATTTCCTTGCGACACAGTTTTGAGGACAGTTGGTAGTACTAAATCAAGGGAGATCAGGAGAGCCAGAAATACATAACCAAGTCAGAAGTAAATAATTAGTTTGTATTTACTGATAAAATGGGTATTTGATGCTTGACTGGGTTGTTTTAATATGTGTTTTTTTTTTAATCCTTATCACAGAAAAAAAATTGACATACAACCATAAATATTAAGCATTGTGAAGATTGATGAAACTTGATTAATAAATAGCATATTATAGATATTTTTAAGGTTAGGTTTTAATGGATGCATTATTGAATTGCACTTAAGCATGACAAGCAGGCATTGCTTTATGTGATTGAGAAAGATCCTTCATGAGCATGATGGGATTATGTGGAATCTTGAAGATAAGACCGTTCAACTACTTTTATCACTGAACATGCAGTAGTGTATGATCAGTTTTTGCTCTTTTTTTCTTTTTTTGCTGCTAAGGAGCGAGCAACTAGCATTTATCAGAAGAATGTGGTGGAGGTAAGAATATTGAGCTTTGCTTTGCAATGGCTGTTTCATAGGCATTACATACATCCTCATTTGTGCATCTGTTCATGGTAGCACTTGCTGGTGACATCTTAGCTGTGCCATGTACTTCCCTTGCTGTACAATCAGGCCCCGCGTATACAGCAGGTTAGGTTCCGGGCTACTGCTGTAAAGCAAAAATTGCTGTAAAGTGAAACATAGCCTTTTTTCACTCTCAAATGCATATAATTGCCTAATATGTTTACACTATCATATATTAAGTGAGCAATTGAGCTAGGCCTAAAAAATGCATATACAGTACACACATTTCCCTAAAAATATTTTCAGCCTTAGGTTATAGTGAGTGGTGAATATATTTATTGTAGGAAGTCTGAATAAATAAAAAATGGGTATAATTGAAAAATCACTGCATTAGGAGAACGCTGTAAATTGAACCGCTGTAAGGTGGGACCCTCCTGTATTTAGGACATGCTGGAGATGTCCCTATAATGTATTAGTTTTTTTGTAAATTAAGTTGTTACAATTTACACTAACAGTTAAAGTAAATGCTAAAGATTTCTCTATAAACCTTCAAGAAAATAGATATAAGAGGGAGGGACATTGGAAAAAATTTCACATGGGGAAATGTGTAGAAAGATAAATAAAACTTTCAAGTGTACAAAGGTTTTTACTACTGTATGACTGAAATATAGAAAGGGCAACAGCAGATGAAAAGTAATTTGCACTTGGTCATCCCAAGAGCTAGAGTTTAACTCTAGCAAATACAATGAGGGGACTACTATTAAAGAAAACTTTAAAACAGAGGAGCTTTTATTGGACATTCTATAAAATTGTAGACTAGTATCAGACCTGACATCACTCGGGGGCCTTAAAAGAATGTGTGAAAGAAGTAAACAATCCAGTTTGGAAAATGTTTGGTATTTTATTTTATTTTATTTTATTTTATTTCAAGAATGTAAACTATCAGACAAATTGGAAATAACAGTGTGTCATTATTTAAAAAATGTGATAAGGAAGACCATTTAAGCTTGTCTCATGACAAAATGGTGCTATAAAAACTTTGAAAATCGAAATGGGTGAGCAAAGCTGTTGAATGCGTATTCCATAAAACTTTAAATTATAGGTTGTATAAATGCCAACTAAGGTACTTCAGTGTCTGAGAAAATTTTAATCACAGAAAACTGCAAGCAGTGATAACAGAAAAATGTCAACATTGAGAAATATTACCAGTGAAGCTTTACTAGGATCAGTATAGTATTTATCCTATTGATGATTTGAAATTATATAATACAGCACCTGGAGTTTGCCTGGAGAGTAAGTCACTTATCAGGAATAAATAAATATGTTTGGAGATGACTTAAAAATCTTTACAAAATAACAATATACTTTCTTCCTGGTATATTGTTTCTTGAAACACTTGACCAAATATAATTACCATACTTGTCCACCCAACAAATAAGTGTAAAGTGGCATGTTTGTTCATCTTGGTAGTACACTGTGCTTTAATATTCTACATTTTGTAAATTTTTTTTGAGTAAATAAATTGTATACTGTGCAAAATAACCACAGTGAAAAAAAAAGTGAAATTCCAAGTGATTTCTCACTATTCTTGATAATGTGAGAAATCATGAAAGTTCTTGGAATGTCACTATTTTTTCACTCTGGTTAATTTGCATATTGTGATATTGCCTGTTTACTGTCCTCTTATTGCAACAAATTTTATTCTGTATTATGGTATACAGTATGATATATTCTTAATATCTGTCCAGACTGTTGATCGTATGTCACGAACATATTCGCTGCTGATGTGTTATTGTTCGTGGTGGGACACAGCTGCTTAACACGAAGGATAATGTTCTTTAATGATATGTTTGTTTATGTTTGTTTGCTGATATTTGTGTTGTAGTTAGATAATAGATTAATAGATTGCTGTAGTTAAATGTTAGGCTAGCTTAGGTTTGTGTTCAAAAAGTAAGATGTTTGTGGTGTGGTTACTATCTGTGAAAATAATGGCAGTACTGAGAGGCAACCGGTTCATAAGAATTTCTCTGAAGAGTTTGTTACACACTAGGTTGGTTGGGGGAAGGGAGGTATACAAATACCTGCATCCAGCAGCCATTTGCATTCACCTATATGTACTCTTCTATTTGTAGTTGTAGGGGTTGAATCTCATCTGACCCTGCCTCTCAATTTGCTACTTGCCAGATTCACTCCTTTGTAGCCTTGTGGGTCCTGTTGTATGTGCTCTTAAAAGAGCTGCATTTAAAATGGTGAGTGTGTGCGTGCATGTGTGCGTCTGTCTCTGTCTCTCTCTCTCTTAGATAAGAGTGGAAACAAATGGATTTTTATGGGTTTATATGCTGTTGGAGCATAATAATAATTCATGTTAAGTGCTAAACCCATGTGGGTCATTCAGCACAAGACATGGTGGGAGGCTTGAGCCTCCATCTGCTGCGTATGAGAGAGAGAGAGACTCTTGCTATTTGTTGGAGCATGAACAAGGTAACATTTATGAAGAGATTCAGGGGAGCTGGCTATTCTCACCTCATTCCTGGAGGTGGGGACATACAGTGCATAATTGGTAATAAATCTTGTGTATTGAAAGGGAAAGTGAATGTTGGTAATACTGAAGTATACTATATGGATTTGTATATGTATGTACATGTGTATGTATGTACATGTATATATAACATTGTTTAAAGAAATACATAACATAACCAGATTTCTCATGTGCAGTATTTTAATTTTGTAGGTTTGCAAGCACGTGTCAGGACGGGAGCACGTTGTAATCCAGACCAATTCAGATGAACTAGAGGATTGGGGTCGACTTTTATATTCACCAGACTGCATGCTGGAAGGCGTTGAGGTTCTCTTGGACTTTGATGGAAACTCCAAGGATAAACATGAGTCGTTCTTCACTTCCATGTCGTTCAATGAGAGCGTCAAGAGTGTGAAGCTCACGTGTGTGGTTGGCGGAGACTTTGGAGAGACAGAGGTTAGGATTATGGACTGGTTCTAGTAGTAGTTGTGTTATAGTTAAAATGCTTATAGTAATAATGGTAGAATTGCCAGCAAAATGTTAGGTAAAGCTCATGGAGAGGGAAACAATGCTACAATAAAATGTCACATTAGTTGCATCTGTGTCCATTTACCTAACAAAAATGCTTATTTCAGTTGATGAAAATTTAGTAATTTAACCATTTTATTTTGATTACCCTTTATTGTTTGAGAAGTTTTAATTTTGTAAAGTATGAGAAAATACAATTAAATATGTATTGTACGTATAGTGTACCATGTATATTCAAGTGTAAAATTTTAATACAGGTGACAAGATTAGTGTCGTATGTCCGAGCTGTCTTGACAAAGCGCCGCTTGGAATCCTTTGAAATCCAGGTGACATCCTTGGAAGAATCAACTGCTGAAATTTTAAGCCCCGTTGTGGAGATGATCTGTGATACACTGCCAGACCTGGCACAAGCCCTCAACAAATTAGTAGTGGCTCTGGAGTTAGATGGAGAGCAGGTTTGTTTGGAAGATCTGTTGATACAGGTGTACCTCACACTGTTGAAGAGGACCTTAAGGTTGAAATATACAAGACGACTATTGTATATTTTTGTCTCATACTAGTTGATTCTTTGTATATACAGCTGTAGGAAAAATGGTACAATAACCAACTTAACAAACCTCCTGGAGAGTGAAATATTGCCACAATTAAATGTCACATTAGTTATATCCATGTTCTTTTATGTATAGAGGTGTAGTTACAAATTTATAATACTATTAAAGATGAGCCTGATACAGTTTTTAATCTTCAATAGGTAATGCAGCTATGCCAAGTTTTACAAATGGCGCCACAAGTACGTGTTCTCCACCTCCCTCATCTGGCATGTGGATTGGAAGGACTCAAAGCTGTTGCCCAATTAGTGGAAAATAACCCTCTAGTTTCGCTCAATCTTGCAGGATCTCTCAGCTCTGGTACTCCAGTAAGTTGAGAAAAGCCTTTTTTTGCTTATCCAAATTAGTGTGTTTTGTATATAATATTGATAGGGGTGGGGATATTTGCTGTTGGAGGGACATCTGAACTGTCGTATCGATGTGCCTCTGGCAAGACGGTGATAGTGTGAATGATGGTGAAAGTGTTTCTTTTTCAGGTCACCCTGCCTCTGTAGGAGATGGCCACTGTGTTAAAAAAAAAAAATAGGGTCCCATTTCTCAAAATTTATTAGTTACTTTTATTTTACGTGTGATTCATTTTAACAAAAAGTAATGGGGTTTTTCATTTTGTGAATAAGTTGGTATATTTAAAGTTTAAAATTTCATTTATTATTTTTGTAACAAGTTAAACAAAGAAAAGACTTGGGCATCAACATGATGTTGAAATTGGTTAACTAGTTTAATAATGGAAAAAAATAAAAAGGATTCTATACTTGCAGGCTTTTCAGAAAGTATATGGCTTAGTTTGAGGTGTCAATTTACGTTGAGTATTTAAATATAAATACTGACCTGTAATATAGTTGAAGGGTTTAGGGTTGATGAAGTGGTTTGGGGGAAGTGAGAGGTTTGGGGAGGGGAAAGGGTGAGTGTAAAAATTTTTGGGGGAAGAAATTAAAAGGGGGATCCCCGAAATGTTTAAAAGGGGAAAAGGGGGAAAAAAGGCTTTTTGAGTATTGAGACTTTAACATCCCCCAGGCTTGTGTGAACATGGTAGATATAGGAGTGATGGAGGGAATGGGTTTTAACCCCTTAAACGTCCCAACAAAACCCTTACATGTGATGCTCCAAAAGGATCATGTTTTTTTAATATTTTTAAATAAACCCCCAAAAAAAATTAATCAAAGTTTTTTTTTTTCAAGTTTTCAAAAGTAAAAAAAAAAAAAAAGGGGTCTACTTTTTTCATACTTTCAAATGTTGAAAAAAAAAAGTAATCTATTTTTGGGACGTTTAAGGGTTAATAAGCTGCTGTTGGAGTGGGGAAAGTATTTTATAAAAGGTTTTTGAAAAACCCAGTTAGCCAAACTTGTTTTGGGGAAGGGGTTAAAGGGCAGTGCTTGCGCTCTAAAGCGGGGTGAATGTTGCCTTGGGTAATTTTTGATGTCGCACACTTCGGGAAAAGACGCAAATTAAATGAATGATGGTAAATGTATTTTATTTGTGGGGTCACCCCTTTACGGGGAGACAGTTGTCGAGTTAATAAAAAATATATACTGTAAAAAAAAAGGTCTCCCCCCAAAAATTCGCGAGGGTTAGGGGTCAAGGCCCCCGCGAAAAATTTAAAAACCCTAATGTTTTGGGGCCCCAAAAAATTGTAGGGAAATAATTACAAAAACTGCTTCCTTAAATTGTTAAAACCCTGAATAATCAAAAAATACATGAAAAGTGTAAATTGTATAAATATACTTTTGCTTTAAAAAACGAGTTATTTTAAAAAACATGTTTTTTTATTAAAACCACAGACCCCACTGCGAGTCCCCACTACCCCCCCCTCCGACCCCCACAAGGCAGCCAGCCCCCCCACCACTCAGTGTGGTGAGGTTTTGTTTGTTCATTTTTGCTATTAAATACGAATAAAAAAGTAAACCCTTCATGACTGATATTGGAATGGCTATTAGGAAAAGGGATTTGACGGGATATCATTGGTTTTTTCTTGAACACAGAAAAAAATCAAAAATTTTTCTATTGCTAATAATAAAAAAATAATAAATATGATATAATTGAAAAAAGGAAATTTTACAAAAATACGGGGAGTGGTTGACAATCGTCAGTGTGACTTCTTTTGTTCTAGTAAACATTGTCTCCCTCCCTTTTCCCAAACTTTCACAAAATTCACATTGAGGCAGTGTTTTAAAAAAATATTTTATATAGTTATAAAAAATAAAGAAATGTTTATTAATAACATGTATTATTATTAACATTATGTTTTTAAAACCATTCCCTAAATCATGCCCTAAACTCCGTGCCCCAAATCTAAAAAGCCCCAAACAAAAATGAATTTTGTGAAAGTTTGGAAAGCAGGGGACTAATGCTCACCCGCAAAAAAAAAGTCCATGACGATGTGTCAACCCCTCCCTCGTATTTTTGTACAAATTCCTTCTTAAAAATTTTATATTTTATTAAATTTTTATTATTATTATTTTTAATTACATTTTATAGCTTTACGGAAGTTTAAATTCTTTTGCAGTGTTCAAAAGTAAACCATGTCCGCTAAAAACCCCGTCCGAATGCCATTCCAAATATCAGCATGAAAAGGGTTTAATTATTTAATGTAGTTTAATAGCAATAATGAAAAACAAAAAAACTCCCAAGAGTGGTGGGGGGGCTGGCTGCAGTTGCAGGGGTCGGGGGAGGGTAGTAGGGACTCGCAGGTGGCGGGGGGAAATTAAATAGATTTGGGGCGGGATTTTGGGGGTTGGGGAAATTGCGAATATGTAAACCTTTAAAGTTTAAAAAGGGTTTGGGGAGACCTGTATGTACAGTAGGGCCCCCCTTTATGGCGTTCGCCCTTTCGGCTTCCACTAATACGGGATTTCAAATTCGACCAAAATTTTATATGGGAACCCGTTTTCTATTGGGCGCCCCACCCCTTTTGTTTATGTCCTCCGTAAGCACATCTCTCTTTATGTCGGAAAATCCAAAATTTCAGTGTTTTAAAGGTTTTTGCATATTTTATATATGTTCTGGTAATAATACTTGTGTACTGTACTTCAATTACTTACCGCTTGCTGGTGCAGGTACACATTAAAATCACTAAGCGTGTCCCCCTAGTCTAAAGCCTAGTATACTAATATTTAAAAAAATAATTTCCCCTTGGGCACATTAAAAGTCTTTTTCGTTAATATGACATTTCCATTAAAATATTATGTATTTTCTTCAAAAATTTTACAAGAAACACGTTACATAGCTAAACATGCATGTTGTATGCTGTGGAGGGGTGGGAGCCAGGGAGAGAGAAAACATTGTGTTTTTCTGGGTTTAGCAGCAGAAAAAATGTTATGAGTCTGCATTTGGCCCAGTACTCCCCTAACACTCTGCTTTTTTGTCAATTCTCGGCATGAATTATTCATTACCCCTCCCTTTTTATGGCATCTCAAAATAGTTTTTTTTTTTTTCAAAAAACTGGCCAATCCCCCAAGGCGGGTGACCCCCAAAAAAAAAACGAAGTTTTTCCCAATTGAGGCAGTGGTATTTAATAACATATATGTTATAAATAATAATAGTACATGTTATTAATTAACCCTTTGAGGGTCGACAGGCCTCTCACCGAAACTCGTTCTCAGGGTCGGCCAAATTTAAAAAAAAAAAAAAATTATTTTCTCATATGAAAAGATAGTGAATCTTTTCCCGATCATAAAGACACCAAAAGTTTGAAATTTGATAGAAAACTTACGGAATTATGCTCTCGCAAAGTTAGCGGTCTCGGCGATGTTTACGCATCGGCGATTTTGCCCACTTTGAGCCCCATTTTCGGCCAATTTCACTGTACTAGTCGACAAAAAAACATGAATATTTCGCTAGAACTCCATTTTTTCTATCGAATGGTGCAAGAAACCACTCATTTATGAAATTCAACTATCCAGTACAGTGGTCAGAATTTAGCAATTTTGCCAATTTCACACAAATTTCAAAAGATGCTAATTTCCGAATAGGGTCCAGAATAAACAAGAAAGACATTCCTGGCACTAAAATGACATTTCCTCTAGTCATTAGTCACGTCTCAAGGCCCCTCTTATATTCTTTTGCTTTCCACTTTGAATTTTTATTTTCACAAAAAATATAAGATTTACTGTCATGCAGACTACTGCATTAGTGTAAAAATGGTATAAATATTATTGGTGCATTTGTGAAAGAATATTAGACTCACCAGTTGACGTGTATTGCACGCTTGGCACGATTTGTTTACTTTTGAAGTTTGGTAAAAATCGAACATTTCTGCTACTTTGAGCTCAATTTCAAGGCACCTTTCTTTGTAAAACCAGTCAAAATCATCTCAATTTCTGTAATATGTCTTCCATTCTATAAAATGAGACCAAGAAAACTAGAATACAACAATAAATACCATACGAAAATACACTGCAAAGTCGCTGATTTATTAAAAAAAAATGGTCAAAGTTTTTTTTTTCTCATTATGCACTGTGTGCTGCAGGATTTTTTTTAGACTGTGCACACTGACCACATAGACCCATTCTTTCATATGAAGGCCTACCAGCTTTCTCCCACTAGATTTGAGGCCGCTAGAATTTATGAGTACTAGTACGTCAAAAACCCCTACGCGTAAGACGTACTAGTACGACGAAAACCCTCAAAGGGTTAATAACGTGTATTATTATTAACATGTATGTTATTAAATACCATTGCCTCAATCACTGCCTCTACCACTCCAGTGGTAGAGGCAGTTATATTACTAATTTAATATAAGTTAGGGTAAACTTGTTGTCTAGCATTTATAAGTGGAAAAAATGGCATTCTGCTTTCCAGCGATAGCCTGAAACCTAACCTGCTGTATAAGTGGGGCCCTACTGTATGTGTATTTTTTAATATGCTGGGCGTCTACCACTGAGACAGGATGACCCAAAAAAGAAATGCTTTCACCATCATTTACACCATTGCTGTCTTGCCAGAGGCATGCAGATATGACCGTTTACATATCCTTCCAAACAGCAGATGTTCCAAACTCTCCTTTAGAGTACAGGCACTGTACTTCTTACCTCCAGGACTCAAGTCCAGCAAACTGGTTTCCCTGACTCCCTTCAAAAAATATTACCTTGCTCACACTCTAACAGCTTGTCAGGTCTCAAAAACCGTTTGTCTCCACTCACTTCCATGGGAAAATGGAAAAGAATTCTTCCTCTGTCAGCCATGTGTCATAAGAGGCGACTAAAATGCTGGGAGCAAAGGGCTAGTAACCCCTTCACCTGTATAAATTACTAAATTTGAAAAGAAAAACTTTCATGTTTCTTTTTAGGTCACCCTGCCTCAGTGGGATATGGCTGTATATTGTTGAAAAAAATATAAATACGTATATTTATTTTTCAGGTGGATGAAAGATCAACAGGTACTGGTGCTAGTACACCGTCACCTACTCGAGAAGACACTCCAGCTCCTCTCTCATTTTGGAGCTTTACCGATGCACAGGGCAACACACGCTCTGTTTTCAACTCTCTGCCACGATCCTTCTACCAGTCACTTCCCAGACGGGGCAGACTGCATTCCCTCTCTGCAGAAAAGAGAAATTCTGATACTACACTTCTCCAAAAGACATCATTCCCTCCGCCAGCTTGCAGTCCATTAGTTCATGCTAATGGGTTTCATGAAGTAAGTTAGGGCTCCTTAATTTTAAATTAAAATCTCGTTCAGTTTTGCAGTGGGATGTTGCAGTTAAGAGGATAGTCTGATTTTGATGTCAGCACACTGACAGTAAATGTTTTCTTTGGGTCACACTACCATGATGGGAGACAGCCATTGTTTAAAAAACGAAGTTTGAATAAAGAAAGTTTTACTGTTTATCGAGAAAGTCATTTTAATGTGTGCAGTATTTAAGCAACGGAAAGTGTATACAGTATATAGCCGCAGTGCTTTTAACATTTAAACTACAACAGATTTATCATGTTAATTTCAGATCTTCTCAGCATTCCGTAACCCAGCTTCTAGAATTTGTCATTTAAATATAAGCAAGTGTACAATGGGAGCCGAGGATTTAGTATGCCTAGGTGAAACTGTCCGATTTACAAAGTGTCTTTCATCTTTGAGGATGGAAGGATTGTCAAGAATGGCAGAGATTATCCCAGTCCTTATAGCACTCCAGGTTGGTAAAATAAAATTCTATATGGGACTAAGTAATTTGTAAATAAAGTATATAATTTTATTTGATATATAATAAACCAGTCAAAAACATTGTGATTTAATTATATACGTATATTTATTTTTAACCCCTTCTCCTGTATAATTATTAAATTTATGAAGAAAAACTTATTTTATAGTACATAATGTGAAAATTGCACCTAAAACCTTCACAGATTAGAAGACATATATATGTCTTCTAATCTGTGAAGGTTTATAGGAGGTATATAGGAGAAAAATGGTCATATGATGTAATTGTTGCAGGAGAATACCAGTCTTCAGCTTCTTGATCTAACATCACCTCACATCCTTTTGGGTGATGCTGCTCTCCAGGTCACACTCAATGCCCTTACCAAAAACAAATCTCTAAGATTTCTTGTACTAAATGGATGGACCATTCAGGTGGAGGCAAGTTTATGATTTTTAAATTTGATATGTGATTATGTAAATTTTTGGGCAGAGTATAGCATGTCATTTCAGCTGTGTAGGCAAGTTGTAGTCTAAAGTTATGCCGGAAGCAGTGAAACTAACTTAGTATTCTGTATTAGATAAAAAAAAAAAAGTCACCATGTGTTAATTTCCATGTCTTTGTCTTATAAGCCTGCAGTGAATGTATCGTTATGAATTACTGTATATCTAAACACACACATGCAAATCAGGATTAAAGAACTAGACAAAATACAATTCAGATATCAGCAATATTGCTAGACTGAAGATAGAATTTTGAAGAGGAAACTATATTATTATTATTATTATAATCAAGGGGGAAGCGCTAAACCCAGAGGATTATACAGCGCCTGGGGGGGGATGTGGAAGGCATTCAGGCTTAATTCGGGGAACTGGAGCACAAATCCAATTCCCTAAATCAAGAGCCCCTCACCAACATCAAGGAACCTTCCTTGAGGGGAGAGGAAACTATAGAACTGTGTTGCAAGTGCCTGATCACCTGGGTTATGATTGGCTCTAAACCGTCAGGCTGCTGACATCAACAGCCTGGTTGACCCAGTTGGTCAACAGGATAGCCTGGCCCCAGGCTGTACCCAGAGTGTAGAAGAAACCTTGAAACAGGTCTCATTAGGTCACAAGTAGGTAACTTACATTATTATTAACACGGTATTATTAATGCAAGTCGTAACAATAGCATGGATGTACATGAATTCAAACCAAGATCCATGCATATTGCAGGCATAGCATTGTAACTACTTAGCTACTGAGCTTACAATAGGATGATTATACAACCAGCACTTCTGTGACATGGTTGTATCAACAGCACCAACTGTAATCCTATTGTCTCATCTCTAAGCCCCAGAGCCTTTTATTATACATCTATTCTCACACCCTCAAAGCCGTGTAGTTCATAAACCCAAGTTTTTTTTTTTCAACAAGTCGGCCATCTCCCACCAAGGCAGGGTGACCCAAAAAAGAAAGCAAATCCCCAAAAAGAAAATACTTTCATCATCATTCAACACTTTCACCACACTCACACATTATCACTGTTTTTGGCTGTAAAACAATCCTGTTGTAAGCTGTGTGGTTATAGCATTAGGCCTGCTACGTGCGTGGCGTATGGTTTGAATCCTTGTCCATTTTTCTGTTTACAGTATCATACTTATTCAAATAATAATACTGTCACATCCACTCACCTCTGGTAAGACTGTGATAGTGTGAATGATGGTAAAAGTGTTTCTTCACGTCACCCTGCCTCTGTGGGAAATGGCCAGTGTGCTAAAAAAAAAAAAAAACCTAAGAGCTAAACCCAATTATATTAAAAACATGCTTTAAACTTGTATGGAACATACAACTCTGCCTGTATTATTATTATACTCATAACTAATGTACAGTGGACCCTTGGTTATCGGCCGTTCACTTATTGGCCAACTTGGTTATCGACCGTTTTTTTGGCTTCCAGTTATCGGCTGTTATTTCGCTTCTTGGCTGTATTGTACCCGTCCACCCAGCAGCCACAGCCGCTTGCGTGTCTCGTGAGTCAGTCTGGCTGTGTGAGGAGGCTTCTGCTCATTCATCCAAACATTTCGCAGGCAGGGAGTGTAGGAGGCATGCAGGGAGTGTAGCAGGGAAACAGGGAGTGCAGAAGGGAGGCAGGGAGTGTAGTAGGCATGCAGGGATTGTAGCAGGCAGGGAGGGAGTGTAGCAGGCATGCAGGGAGTGTAGCAGGCTGGGAGGAAAGTAACTGCAGAGAGGTCCTTATGGAGGGGGATTCCCTTTCCAAACAGTAATCAGTTCTTCCTCTCTCCTCCTCCCTGTCTTCCATAAGCCAACAAGAGTCTTCAATAAAGGTATGTAATAGTGATTTAAATGTTCATTTATTAATTTTATTTGGTTTTCATTGTTTTGTGTATGTAAAACTATAATTAATCTTTAAAAAATGTATTTTATTTTTTTAATATTTTTGGGTGTCTGGAACGGATTAATTGTATTCACATAATTGTTATGGGAAATATTATTTTGGTTTTTGACCAACCTTCTGGAATGGATTACGGCAGATAACCAAGGGTCCACTGTATTATTATTATCATAACTAAGTGCTAAACACACAAGAGACTGCATGTAGCTTATATATTCACAGTGTAAAACATATTTAGAGATTGTATTTGATAGCGACTTTCATTCCCTGCAGAGTGAGCGATCTCTGAGAGAGTTTATTCAGTTCCTGACAGTGACCGAGCTTCAGCACCTGGACCTGGGAAGTTGCCAGGTGATGGTCACTGTACATGATGGACCTTTGGCTCGTCTCTCAAGGCAGGATGATGTCATATCTGCTCTTCAGGAAGGGGTTCCACCGTTACATAATAATACCTTGGCATTTTTGAACTTGGATAACTTTGAGGTACACTAAATCATTTTTATTCTTAGGGTGTATGGCGTTTAAATTAAATAATGTGAATACTACGTGTACATCTTGATATATTTGTTTCTTTTAGACTGTACTGTAGTATGGCTTTGTATTTTCAGATTACATTTAAATTTGGATATAGAATTTTAATGAAAATTCACGAATAGTAAAAATCATTTCAGCTTATTTCTTAATACTAGTAAAAATTGCATTGTATGAAGGTATCCAACTTTTTCTAATTTTCTGTTTTCTTTTTAAATTAGTCATGTCAGTTGACAAATTTTGTTATAAAACAGATTAATATTGAAATTTATTTCTTTTTAATAGCCTCTAAATTTACAGGTTACCTTGAACAATAAAGTTGTATTGAGGGGACCACAACTGCTCTTCCTGCTGAGACATTTTCCCAAGCTTGTTGATGTGTCCTTGACATCCAGTCTTGGAGCTGATGTGATTGATGATGCAACAACACACAGACTCTTCACACTCTTGTCAGGATCATATCCATTCCTGAGGAAACTCACACTTGGTGGTTGGGTGTTTTCTTTGGACACTTGTGAAAAGGTTGGGTTTGATTGAAGGCAGATTTTTTTTATTTGTACAAGTCAGAATAATATGCTAAATAAGCCTAAGAGTATTTTGATGCTGGTGAAGTGTTACGTATCAAAGAAATTGAAGCTATTTTTCCCTTCCTCAGATTAAATGATTCCCCAGGCACCATATGGCTCCTATCATTATAACAATTTATAAAGTACTGTATATGAATATACAAGTTTTCCTTGCTTCATGTGGCTTCGCTTAATGCAATTTTGCTATTATGCAGTGCTCCCCTTCTGTAGGTAATTAAATGTGTAGGATATACATTTGCCATGTGCAGTCAGTGCAGTTCATGAAGTATAATGTATATACTTGTGTGGAATTAAGTGTTGGTGGCCCGATTGATCTTAGTACATCTGCCCTGGGCCTGGAACACATCTACTGCATGAGGCGAGGGATATATGTATATTAACAGTTTTCATATGCAGTGAATGAACTAAAATTCATAGGAAATCATTGTTTGAGGTCATATATGAAATAACTGTCTGATTTATTGGACGTTTTCTCAGGTGATGCGAGCTGGAGGTAAACAGCTTCGCGGTAGTCAGTTACGAGAAGTATTCTTAAGTGGAGTGGAAGTGCGAGAGAGTAGTGGAAAACCTGGCATGGAACACACCCTTCTACAAGCTCTCACCACTAACCTCCACCACCTCTCTCTCCTTTCTCTTGCTGGCCTTAAACTCACCCCAGCTCAGGCTGCTTTGTTTGGTAAGGTAAGTAACAAATGTACTTGCATGTTGAAATTGGTATTAAAGGTAATTTTAAAAGAAAATGTTTGTAAGTATTAATTTATTAAATGCACACTTATGGTTGAAGAGAGAGAGAGAGATGCAAAAAAATCTAACGTTTAGAATACATCTACAGTATAATACAGGCATATCTTGCTATACTCGCCATACCATGGGCGGGATTGAACCCGCGGCCAGTGAGTCTCAAAACTCCAGACTGTCGCGTTAGCCACTGGACCAGCTAGCCACAAAAAAATTCATCCAACTAGGTATATTTCTACACCATAGGAAGGTTAGCATAGGCACCACTGTGACCTCAAATGCAAGTTGTTACAGACAAATCTGCAGCTAGCGTGGCCGTGACGAACTCTAGCTCAATGCCGTCAACATGACTCATGAAATCATAATGACACGATTGCTAACGCGATGGTCTGGAGTCTTGAGACTCTCTGACCGCACGTTCAATCCCGCCCGTGGTATGGTTTGTTTGCAATCGTGACCTGGAAAAGAAGAAATGAAAGTTTCTTTTTACATTTAGTAATTTATGCAGGTTACTAGCCCCTTGGTGCCAGCATTTTACAACACACACAGCAGATGGAGGAAGGATTCTTCTCTACAGAGTAATAATTTATTTATCATTATTATCTGTAGACTTGTATGTTGATTTTTTGCACAAATAAGCCATGAGCATTTCTTCCAGACACTTCGTGACAAATTGGCATCATCATCACTAGAGCTGGAGACGCGTGGTCTTGGGTATTCATCGATCAAGGCTTTGAGACAAGCGCTCACAGATGGTGGCAGATATGAATTTGAGTTCCTTGGTGGGCCGTCAGTTATGTACAAACTTAAAAAGGTAGATAGAAGAGAAAAATTAATTGGCAAATGGGCCTGCATATCTACGACTGGATAGATTAAGTGAACTGTAAAAATATATTATGATGAGAAAATTTTTATGCATTTGAAAAAAAATTATATAATTTTACACAAATACTATTTATGAAGGATCAAGTTATTTAGCATGAGATGATGGATACATTACTGCATGTTTGAGGTTTTATTGCAAAGACCAAAGTGTTGTTTATATATCTAGATATACAGTATTTCCTTTTATGGTAAAAATTTTATACTTTTACCTAAAGTTGTCATATAGTGACTGACTGTTATTACTTTCAACCATTTTAATCCTGAAACAACCATGTGGTTTTGAAAAATAATTGTAGTGTAAAATTTTCAGTATTGAAAAATTTTGTGCTCTGCAAATTTAAAATTTTAAATGCTTTTGACTTTAATTATGGGGCAGAAAAACGGGATATTTGGCAATGGTGCTTTTTAACCCTGTGCTTCCAGGTGGAGTTTTGCCTTAATCACAAATTTTGGCAACACTATTTAACTTTTTTTTTTTTATGTCACATGGACATTAAATATTCAGGTTTCTAATGTACCCCCCCCCCCCAAAAATTTTTTTAATAATATGCTCAGCTAATTTAACTTTGGAATATTGTAGTATTTTTTTTTCACGAAACATACCTAACTAAAAGCAAAATTTTAAATACCACAGTAAATTTCTTCTGTACTATATTTTAGTTTAAATGACCGGAGAATTTTAAAATTTTTTTTTGTTGTACAGCTATTTTGCATATATTTTAGTTTTTTACTGAAAAGGCCCTTTTCATTTTCGTCAACATGAGTTTTTCTGTCTTGTTTGTATTTAAATTTTTTTAACAGCCCATTATAAAAAGAAAATTTTTTAAAAAAAAAAAAGTATTAAAATCTTATATGGATGCCATCATTTGCTCTATTTTTAAAACTATTTGAAAAACCTAATGTATTATTCATCAACTGGATTATATTTAAAAAAAATTTTTTTTTATACAAATAGATCTGCATCTGTTAAATTAGAATTTTGATTAAATTAGATATGACAGCTTATTATCATGTTTAAACAATTTGGTGTATTTTTAAAAATTGTTGTACCCATGTCTGTACAAAATCAAGAGAGGGTACCTCAGACCTACCCTAAACATTCTGGTTATGTCATAGAGGGTTACCCGTAGACCTACCTAAAAATTTGCTTCAAAGAGGACGGGGCCTTTGAGCTACCCTAAAAGTTTGCTTTCTGATCATATTTTCATCTTAAATGTTTCCCAAATTTAGTATTTTATGGTAAGGAGTTGATTATTATCTGAGGAAAAAAATGCTTGCCATCGGTAAAAAAAAATAGTTCAACAGTAGGCATAATTTACGAAAGGACTAGAAAACTTCGTGATGTTTAAGAATATAGAAGAATGATTAGCAGTTTTTATATACAGTAGGGCCCCACTTATACGGCGGGTTAGGTTCCAGGCTACCGCCGTAAAGCGGAAATCGCCGTAAAGTGGAACACCCTTTTTTTCCACTTATAAATGCATACAAACACTAGATAACAAGTTTACACTAACATATATTAAGTTAGCAATAGAACCAGGCATCAAAAAACAATAAAAAGGTACAATACACACATAGTGCACTCATTACTTACCTTAAAATATTTATAGTCTTAATCTAGGGTGAGACAAGTAGTATTTATTGTAAGAAATCAAGTGTGGTATGTATTGTAATAGCCTCACCAGGCCACCCCACCCACACATACTATTCTATGATATTTAAGCATCCCAGAGCGATAAAATGTATATACAGTTCACTCATTACTTACCTTAAAATATTTGTAGTCTTAATGTAGGGTCAGGAGTAAGTAAATGAGATAAAACGAATAAATGAGAGAGAGAAAGAATGAATACATGAGAGGGGGCAGGCGCAGTTATGTAAACAAACCAGGGGAAGGTAAGTTTTGTAAACAAACGAAGTGTACACGTCTGGTTTGTGTACAAGTTACATTGTGTACAGGTTGTCTCTACATTGATACGGTAGAATTAATAAAGAAGAACACTCCCATTCTCATGTAACATCATTTTGAGAAGAAATGAAGCTCTGAGTGAAGGCAATGGAAATAAGTCACACTGACTTTTTTGGGTTATCCTAGGTTCTCTACACGTATGTTGTTATGTATGATAATCTATGTAACTGTATTTGTGTATACCTGAATAAATTTACTTACATACATACGAAAGGAATAATTTTCTACAGTTACCCCCAGTAACACATTTACTCTTATGTTAGATTAGAGAAAATGTTATTCTTGGCGTCACTTGTACAAGTTATGTGGCTCCCACATCTTATATTTATGTTTATTTATTCTATTGTGGGGTGTATTTATCATCTTTTTATGTTATGTATCGTGTTTATTATATAATTTTGAAAAAAATATCATGGATGGATTAATGAAAATGTGTATATTACCGTAATATACGACATTTAATGAGACTCCGTGACTATTGTTATTATGGCGTCACTTGTGGAAGTCGTCTGCTACCAGAGATCACATTTATGTTTATTTATTCTACTGTGGGGTGTATTTATCTTATTTATATGTTATGTATAGTGTTTATTATATAATTTTGAAAAAAATATCATGGATGGATTAATGAAAATGTGTATATTACCGTAATATACGACATTTAATGAGACTCAGTATTGTTATTATCACCACTTGTGCAAGTCGTCTGCTCACATCTCACATTTGTTTATTTATTCTACTGTGGGGTGTATTTATCTTATTTATATGTTATGCATCGTGTTTATTATATAATTTTGAAAAAAATATCATGGATGGATTAATGAAAATGTGTATATTAACGTAATATACGACATTTAAATGACTCGATGTATGTAAGTTTATTTAGGTACAGGTATACATAAGTATAATTATCAGAGTATATATAAAATATGAAATAACTTTTAAAAACATTTGAAATTTTGGAGTTTCCAGACAAAATGGAGAGACTTAGTGCTTACTGAGCTCATGGAGAATGTAAACAAACAGGGTGGGGCACGGTGACCGTATTAGAAAGTCAGGTGGGGGGAGCCGTATAGTGAGTTTTGGTCATAATTTGAAATGTCCGTATTAGCGGAACGCCGTAAAGCGGAACGCCGTAAAGCGGGGCCCTCCTGTACTGTAGTAGATTAAATGTTATGAGGTAGACAATCAGTATTGTTGATGTTACTGCAGTTAAGAATTAGAATTGTGGAAAAGAATTTTTTTTTTACTTAATGTAGTACTATTGTGTACCACCTATAAAAAAATAGCAAAGGATAATTTAAATTGAATTTATAGATATTTGAATATGGACACATACAAGGCTGTTTGCAGTTTCCTGAGATTGTGTAGTGTAACTACTGGTTGCAAGCTATTTCTTGGAAACCAGCTATGAATGGATGTAGATGACAGATTATTAATGATTACAAAAATTATAGGAAAAATCAAAACTGGGGTCATATATATAGGGTACACCCCAAATCCACCATTGTCTTTGATACATGTTAAATTTTCTCAGATTAAAATTTTGTTAAGGTTGAGTTAGTTGTTGCAGGTAAACAAAAGAATTTGTAGTGTCATGTCTTTGGAGATAGATATCCCTGGTTTTCATTCTTTTATCATATTGATAAGTTTTTTAATTATTTTTGCATACTTTTAATATTTTTAATTAATGTATTTGTGGAACTTAGTTCAGTGGTCATAAAATAAATAGTATAGCCTGTGTTACCTATTGAATGTACTGGTGCATTTATGTAATCATGTTGCCATAGTCATCTGTTTATCTAGCCTTAAAGTTTTGTTTAAGCAGTATAATTTATCTATTGGAGACACAGTAGGTAACATAATATGGACTAAAATTTCTTCTATGGAAACCTGAAATATTAACTGAAATTCTGTGATGATTTTAAGGATCTCAACTTGACTGCTAGCTAAAATACAGCCATATTTCTTCTACGTTCTGAGAGGTATTTATATTATACACACATTGCAGAAATGAAGCTCTGTAAGCTACGGATTGTAAATACATAAAAGTAATTTTGAATGGTAGATAGTTTTCCCTCATCTCTGGATGAATCTCCAATGCAGCTAGCCTTACTTCTTATTAATATAATATGCTGTTGAGATAATTGTTATTGCCACTAGAATTCCTGCAGTAGAGGTGAGGTGCGAGGATTTTTGTTTTTATGACACCATTATACAAAAAAAAAAATTGGAATTCTTGTGAAAAAAGAAAAAATAGCTGTAAGTGTACTCTAGCTTTGCTAATCTGCGATATTAGGGTAAACTATTTCTACAATATTTAACTTATATTATTATTATTATAATCAAAAAGAAGCGCTAAGCCACAAGGACTATACAGCATTTAACTTATAGATATTATACTGTATGGTAGGTCTCCTACTTTACGATGTCAATTCACTCCTGAAAAATATTCGGGACTAAACCTATTTACCCGTTTTAATCGGAGTTGCATTCCTGAACTATAGTATTCTTTGTCAAATTTCTATTAGAAAATAGTTACTGTACCTGCCTGTTTCTACAAAATAAGTGAACTTTTCACTTTCCAGCTAAAAAAAAAAAAAATTATTCTGAAAAGAATGTCTGAATATTTGTAATGATCAACACCTGCAGATCTGCATTCGTAAGTTATTAATTTGTTTCAAAGTGCCAATGTAAGTGTGGAATATCACAAGTCAAAATACTGTCAGCCAGGGACCTACTGTACAGCTTAAATGCAAGTTGTTCATTCTCTATTTTCAAGCGAATGTTTTATGTAAAGAATTCTTGTTAAAGCAAATCAATGACTTGTTTGAAGCATTTATAACTGATATGCATTCAGTTTCACAAAATAATTAAATGAAATAGTCTGCTTTTAGAAACACAGAATAGACTAACATTTTTTTCGAATCAAATTTTTGGGGGGGGAGTTATTTTTTAATGGTTTCGCGTCATTGACTCTAAGTTGCCAAATAGGAGACACGACAATTAATAAAGTTTTATAACATTATTTGTATAAATTTAGCTTGATTGTTCATTCATTAAAATTTACAAGGGGTCGTTTTCAAATTACTGTAGTATAAAAGTTCAGGTGCTCTCTAGGGGAACAGTTCTTAGGGCTTATGTGACCGAAAGGCTAATTTTTAAAATATCCTGCCAATCTTGCCTTAAAATAGAGCAGATTAGTTTAAGGTAAAATAAATTTATATGAAGTGCTAAAATTTGTTTTCTCATAAAATGTAAATTCGTGCATATCTCATAAGTGTGGTGAATCTTGGCAACCTACATGATCTAGCATCCTAGTGCCTCTGTTGTGATTTTTACCAGGGCTGAAAGTTAATTTTTTTTTAGCAAAT